TCAGAGGATTCAGAAGAGGATTCAGTTCGGTGTTCGCTTCATGTGTGTGCATGTAGAGAAGAGCGCGCGAGTAACGAATCGAGTTCCCTTTCGCCTTTTCTCTCTGGAATCGTTTAAAATTCGCTTGCTTGTTTAAATACGAGCAAATGATAAACTTCTACTCTATTATGGTTACATTTTGCAATTAATCCGCGGATCACATGCGTGCAGAACCGTGGGGCTTGGTCCGTACGGATCAACTACGATCCGTTTAACCACTACTAGTATTGCACTATTATAGTATACTATTATTTAGTTAGTATTTTTGTAGTTTATTAGGCAAAATTTGTATATTAATAAAATATCCAAATGCAGAGTGACAAATAAACCAGATATAGAATTTATTAAAATTTGTGAACAATTTATTAATTATTATTTTTAAAAAAGCTAAATATATTGTAAAATGATATGATATGCTTCTAGGTGAAGCAGATTCTAGAGGATGTGGGCTGTTGCATTGTGGGACAGACAGAGAATCTGGTGCCAGCAGATCGTGTTCTCTACGCCATCAGAGATGCCACATCGACTGTTGATAGTCATCCTCTTATCATCAGTAAGATTAACCTGAAAAACTTCTCATTGCAGTGTTAAGCCCACTTCTCATGATTATTGTTGTCCATGTTCTGCACAGGCTCCATCATCTCTAAGAAAGGAGCTGAAGGTCTGAGTACTCTTGTGTTAGATGTGAAGTTTGGCAGAGCTGCTCTGTATAAAGATGTGGATAGCGCTCGCCATCTTGCTCAGTCACTGGTAAGAGAGATGCTAGTGTTTGAGCACATGTAGAAGGCATGTCATGACAATAAAATGCACTGGATATCCAGACAGTGACATCTTGCACGTAGTTGTTTTGGTGTCAAGAAAAGACAAGCCGTGGCCAAAGAGAAAACAAAAAGATTTTGTAACTACTTTCATGGGGGAAAACAAGTCATGAGTTAAGCAATGCGTTAGAGTGATCAAATTTAGACGTAAATATTTGTATCTATTTTTATCTAGGATAAACATGCAATTTATTTATTTTGTATTTTTTTTGGAAAGTTGCACCCAAAATTCACTTGAATTTAAATATGATGCTTAAGTCCATCAGGGTTGTGCAAAATTCAGAACTGAAGAATTCATGAGAATGAATTTAATTTGAATTAGACAGCCAAATCTAAGTTGACATGGAATGGCAGGAAGTTATTTACTGAATTGCAATGGACCCTTTTCACAGACTGTGATGATGCGTTTCCACAGTTCATTTTCATTAAAATATAATTTTTTTTTAAATTTAATTTATTGAATTATTTTATTTAATGCACATTGTTAACTGTACTTTGTTTATATTACCTTGGCAGTAAATTTCAGAAAAATTGTGTTAGCGCAAATGTGTTTCTAATATTTTTCTCTGTTCTGACCACCGTAATCTCTTGAAATTTGTAATGCTATCTTTTTTTTTTTTTTGCTATTATAGCAAATGTGAACACAAAAAATATATTTGTTGTAGTTTCCATTCACAACTACACCCAGCTATGACAATTTTCGCTTCTGAGAACAATTTTCGGAAATATGAAAAGGGTCCATTCAAAGAATTTCAACACAGATAATGCATTCTGGGATATGAAGTTTATTTAAAGTTATTTAAGTAATAAAGTCAAGCAATTTATGAAATGTATTGAAATTAAAAAAATAAATTCAAATTTCAATAGAACTTTACCTCTCTGTAGTTCCCTCTGTCCAAAGGGCCTATACATTTTCAAACTTAAGATTTATGCTATGAAGATTTAACAAGGCTTTGTTAAGCTATTATATTTCTACTTCCTTACATTCAACTTCAAATTGCAATTCTGCATCCTGTTTGCAACCTCAAATCAAATTCGAACCCAATTCAGGATTTGAATTGGCAAGTCATTCTTAATTTAACTATCATACAATACTGGTGTCAATTTGCTGATAGATCACTGTGGGCAACAAACTGGGTGTGAAAACAGGTGCGGTGCTTAGCCGGATGGATTCTCCTATTGGCCAGAGTGTAGGAAATGCGGTCGAGGTGTGTGAAGCCCTTGAGTGTCTTAAAGGACGAGGGTCAGATGATCTCAAAGAACTGGTGACAAATTTAGGTAAGGAGAAGGACCCACTTAAACATACTACTGTAAGATGACACAACAGAACTAAATTGTGATGTTCTTCAGGACAAACTGGCTACAAATGTCTGCAATAAACAAGCATAAAAGTGTCCATTGTATTTAGGTGGGCATCTATTGTGCATGTGTGGCCACTCCTGTACTCTAGAGAGTGGGAAAAAAGAAATCGCTCTGAAACTGGAGAACGGAGAAGCCCTGAAAAAGTTTGAGGCGATGCTGATGGCTCAGGGGGTGTCTGCAGATGTTGCACATTCCCTGTGCTCAAACGAGACCGACTACTTTAAGCACATGAAGCGTGCAGCACATCAGACAGAGCTTGAGGTGCCAGATAATGGTAATTATGTTTCATGTTCACGTTTGAAAATCAAATGTTAATTATTTTACATAACGCCAACAGCACAGGCATGATTATAAACTGATTGCACAGAGCGCGCTATTAATATTCAGTTATTCATCTACATGCAATCATCACGTCCATTATCTCAGCTGCAGCCGTTGTGTGTGTATGTGTGAACTGTTTGATTGACAGGAGCCATTTTGGACATTGACGGTTTGGCCCTGGCTGAAGTGCTGCATAAACTAGGAGCGGGGCGTACTAAATCAGGAGAAGAAATCGATCATAGTGTGGGAGCTGAGATCTTGGTTAAGATAGGACAGCAGATACAGAAAGGTTAGTCTCAATTATCTCAATATATGACTGTTTGGACTGAAAAACATATAGTTCTTACTAAAAAACGTATAATGGCTACTAAAAAAAAAAAAAAAAAATTGTATGCGAAAGTGTTCAATATGCAACAATAAACACTGTTCTACAGCGATCGTATATAAAAGTCACATGACCACCACAATGCATGTTTACTTCAGCAAGTGGCTGCCAGTTGTCCTAGTAATAAAATAATGCCATTTTTAAATGTAATTAAAAATATATATTTATTTTTAATTTAAATTATAATCCAATTTAGCATAGAACGTTTAGCAGTCCTATCAAATGATGAGTCAAGACTGATATTAATATTGCTTTTGGTTCATCACACTGGAAATGAGTCAAATTGCATTGTGGGATATCACCCAGTATATATATATATATATATCACTCAGTGTGCTTTGACACAAATGTGAAGATGTTAAATCAGAAATAATCATTCATACTATGAGCAGTAGGTCATATTTCACGTCAAAATCTAAAATATAATAAAACGTCAATCCGTCAATCTTTTATCTGCTTCATGTTCAATAATTACACTGGAAATAGGTCAAATTGCATTGTGGGATTTATCTCCCAACTAGGGGTGTGCGATACTGATAAAAAAAAAATCTCTATTTTCTGGGATTTTATCGATAACGATAATTAGATGATATTTTGCAGAGTGTGTTATTGTGCTGGTACCTTAAGGACTGCCGTGGACAGCTGACTCCTAAAGTTTTTAATATTCTTTATATTCTGTGTGGTGGTCAGTTCACACTGAGAAAAAAAATTATCTTTTCCAATAAGTTTAACTTATTTTTACATTTTATGGGCATTTTTACCTTTATAAAGCCATTTTTTCTAAAAGTGTCCATTATCTTTTGAGTGAAATTCTTACATTTAATCAGGGAATTAGAATAATAAGACATCTGGGCTGTTACCAAGCAAATTAAATCAACACAGAAGCTGCATCTGAAGTGGCATTTAGATGTATTTACACACCGTTTAACGCAAGACATGAATGCATTTAACCTGCAATTATAAATGCATAAATAATCTTTTGATATATTAAACATAAAATGCTGAATACTGATATTTGAAATTATTTAAATAAAAGATACTTTGAATGTGAAATTAAAACCGCCAGCAGTTGGCAGCAAGTCACTGTTAATAAGGGAGTCATTGCGACTGAACCGAATCATTTAAACGGTTGATTCAATCAGTAACGAAACACCCTCTTGTTGCACAGAGATGCAAAACAGCGTTGTGGCTTTGTTTGTAATTATTTTTGTTGTTGAAGTAGAGCAAAAACAGGCAATATAGTGTCTAAAGTCTCTTAATTAACTTCTTGTTTATTGAACTGTTGAAAAAATTCAATTTGTAATCATGGTTATATTTGGAGAAAAACGGCACTCTTCGTGTGAAATTGATTAACTGTATGAAATGGTATAAATATTTACATTTTCTGCCATCACGTCTTGAATTTGTGATCATTCTAAATGCATTTTAATAGACTGAATCATGCAGTGAAAGAACGCACTAATTTATGCGCACTAGTCTAGACTTCACGTAATGTATGCGTGTGCTCTGTAGCGGTGTTTTGGTTTTTGCAAAATATCAAATCGCTCGATAAGGTCAAATTGCACATCGTTAAAACAACAATTAAGATATTAATCGCAGACGATATATATTTGTTTGTTTATTTGCGTGTTTAAATAGTATGAATAGTAGTACCTTTAGTTTTTCAAAAATAGCCTACCTTTATATCTCTGTATAGCATTTAATCATCTGTATTGATACCCTATTGATTCAATTGGCAGGTGAATCATGGATCAGGATTCATCACAGTTGCCCAGATCTGAGTACACACTATTCTGACCTGCAGAAAGCTTTGGTCATTGGCAGCCTCAAAGAATGCAAGTCAGCATCACGTGTGGCAGAATTCATCCACCCAGATAATCCCAACATGTCATAACACAGCCTCATTCAAAACATATTTTTTTGTTTGTAACAAATATTTCAGATTCAAATGTACTTACCAAGATATAGTTTTCTTCAAATGAAGCACTAGGGAGTTTTTACAATAAATACATGACAAAGACCAACACTGACCTTTGAGCTCTGCATCTGGAAAATCTTTAAACATATTTGCTTACCTGTAGCTGAAATATGACTGTAGCCCAGGTCTGCTCAATCCTGTCCTGCAAAGTTTAGTTGCAGCTCTAAACAAAATCACCTAAACCAGATGATTAAAGCCTTCAGCTTGACTTGGAAATTGCAGCCAGGTGTGTTGGAGCAGGATTGAATACACTAGCACAGTAGATGAAATGCTGCCACCACTCACTCGCAGAGGAACTGCAGCATTACAGACCACAAACCTCCAGAACCTCAGAAAACAGGGTCAGCTCTCGTCCTTCTTGTATAAAAAGCATCTATGATAATGCCTTAAAATATTCATCGATTTGTCAGAAGGTAAAAGGAATCTGATGCCACAATGTGAATTCCGTTTTGGTTTTCCAGAATGCCTTTAAGCATAACACTGGTGCTTCATTTTTCTTTTTCAATGAAGTCTTTCTCTGCGTATTTAATCAAACCAATAATTCAGTGTGATTACCTTTTTCTTTTTTTAATAAATAGTTGTAGAGAATAGGGTGATCTTTGCTGCCACGTAGTGGTACAAATCATGTCCAACATGGCTGCAATGGTGAACCCCTCATGTAATTTGTACTATTTCTACATATCTAGTGACATATCTAGACCATAGTTCATCCCAAATTCAAAAGCAAAATGATACTATTTTTTTTTTTTGCCACTGTGACATCATTTTCACAATTAATTTCCAGAATGTCAGTAGCCAACATTTTAATTATTTAATTTAATGTGATTTAAAAAAAACCCCTCATGTAATTTGTACTATTTCTACATATCTAGTGACATATCTAGACCATAGTTCATCCCAAATTCAAAAGCAAAATGATACTATTTTTTTTTTTGCCACTGTGACATCATTTTCACAATTAATTTCCAGAATGTCAGTAGCCAACATTTTAATTATTTAATTTAATGTGATTTAAAAAAATTTTTTTGTAAAACTAAATCAGTCAATCTGTCTGAATTTTTGTTTTTATTGTAATAAACATTTTTTGGGGGAAAATGCTTGTAACACAAAATAATGGCCCTAAAATGGGCTTCATTTTCCTTATGCAATAAAAATGTGTATTCCTTTTGACTTGTTGTGAAATATAACCTGGGATATTTCTTTGAGAGATTCACCCAATCATATTTTACAGTTTATATTTATGACAGTCTTGTTTACATTTTAACTAGGAGTTGACCAGGAATCGGTTACGTACATCAGCCTTCATTAAAAATAAATATTTAAATCAAATGCTTTCCCATATTTTTTTTTTATTTTATAACACACGTAAAAAAGGATATGCATTCGGCCTATTTTCATCAAGATTAAAAAAGCAAAAAATATGGCTGCTTTTCAATGCCTGCAGATTTTCTAGGGCAAGTCTTCAAATGGAAACTGGGAATTTCATCTAAACATGGATTTTTCTGTCCTGGTTTGAGAGGCATCAGTGCGCCACAGAATTGAGCGGTTCTGCTCTTATGTTTCCAAGATCCAGCGCAGAATCGGTTTCTTCATCGATTTCACCGATTACAGCCCTGGAACATAAACATACAAGCCTTTAAAATCCACCAAAGTCTGCAGTTGTTTTATACAAAGTAGCACAAATACTAGAAGAGGCATAATACATACACATTATCGCCTCTGACAATATACAGTCCCAGAACCACCTGCTCTACTCCCTGGGAAGAGCTGAACACCCGCTCATGGCTTTCATCCAGGATGAGATTGATTGTCTGATCGAAGCCCTTTAGCGTCCCCTAAGCAAAAAACAATAAAAGTCATAAGCAAGCTCCTTTATTAATGCACATAAACAATGTTTATTTTAAGTTGATGAAACACTCACCACAATCATTCTCCCATCTGAAGTGACGATGGCAACCGTCCCTTGAATAATGCTGGTTAGGGAAATATCAGGCTCATGAAGACTTACATACACACACAATCATATTCAATTAAATAATCAGTGTATAGACCAGGGGTGTCCAAACTCGGTCCTGGAGGGCCGGTGTCCTGCAGAGTTTAGCTCCAGCTTGCCTCAACACACCTGCCTTTAAGTTTCTAGTATGCCTAGTAAGAGCTTGATTAGCTGGTTCAGGTGTTTAATTGGAGTTGGAGCTAAACTCTTCAGGACACTGGAGTTTGGACACCCCTGGTATAGACTGTAGTACACTAACAGAAGTAATTAAATATATTATGCATGCACAATAGCATAATTCTATGAAATAGATATAATTAGACACGTTACATGCATGCCTTTATATATAGTATATGCGTAGTACATACTATCCACACAATTAATTCATACATATTCACTATATATGTAGTACATATATAAAATATGATACATTGTATTCATACATGCATGCATACTAAAAGGCGATAATGATCATGCTCATCATAACACACCAAAACACTTGATCGCGCGCCCATTGAAACACTGTCATGAAAACAACACAACGCCACCAGCTATTGATCTACAACATCACCATCATCAAGTGCATCAAAGGATACGGTTAATGTAACTCTCAAGAGCGGTAGACATCTCTGCTGGAGCGTGTTTAAATCCACCGGTTCTTGAGCACAACTACAACGAAACACATTCGTTCTGCTGAGCCGGAAATGAGAACGGGTGAGACTCAAGTAGTCGATGACCTATCGCGGCAGTACTAGTCGAGTAGGAGCAATAGAACCTGTGGTAATGTATTTGACCAGAAGATGGCGCACTCTATAGGTTTCTAACACGGAGGTCTATATAATACACTTTCTAACGAGGAACCTTTGAGATGAGAATCAGCTCTTGGTGAAAAGGCTAATTGTTTCAAGGTCACAGTGGGGGCTGATGGAAATAGGCCTATTGATGGTGATGATGACGATGGAACTTACACAAAAGCATTGTGGTGATTAATGATACGGTGATGATTTGTAGAAAATCATGTTGATGGTATTTACATGGTATTCCAAAGTATTTCAAATATTAATTTGGCATTATCAGGATAAATGTCCAAATTAGCCTATGGTAATACCATTGTATATTTCCAAAAGCTATGTTCTGCAAACTATGGCACTCCTTTGGTACATTTATGAAGCTGGAGAAACAATTATCTAAACAATCCATTGCACAATCACAGTGAAAGGAAATGAACCACGTGATCATTTTTCACATTCTGAGCTCTGTCCAAACCCCTCATTAAAACACAAAACACCAAGCACAACAGATGATTGTTAAAGTTAATCATTTATGTTGTTATGAGGAAGTGAACTTTCAGCTTGAGATGCCTTAGAAGGATCTCCAGGAAACCATTATGTTATCAAATGGTATATGAAACACACAGAGGCTACTTGAACCTGAGAAGAAAAAATGGATGTATAAAATAAAATCCTTCCGACAGTTTAGACTTTTACCATACTGAATTGGACAAATAACAAGGGAAACTGATAAAGCAATACAGGTAATTAAAACCTTCACCTTTGAAAGTGACTTTCTGTGACAGTTTTGTATTTAACATATTTGTGAAAGCTCTTCAAGTTATATGATCTTCGGCATCTTTTAGATTTCGTGTGGAGCTGTAACAGTTTGTTAAAGGCAACATGAAAGCAGACGACAAACTTCAGATCTTGAAATTCTTTCTAATGCTTGTCAATTCCTTCTTTGTGGTAAGACGAAATAACCATAGATTTGCATGTTACTGATAGAGACATTTCTTGTTTATTACTTACAAAGAACTTCCTGGACTGCAGTCAGATATATTAATCATACAGTGGACATTGACATACAGCCTATGATATGATTAAGCATGTGCTTGATTTCTGCCAGCAGTGTGCAAAAGCATAGACTTCTGCGCCCTTAACTTAATTCATGCATGGCTACATGTACAAACAAGTAACAATTTACATGATCTTGACAGATTCTTGGCATCAGCATTTTTGCGTGTTCTGCTTGGATTTTATTTGATAAGGACAGCTTTGTTAGTGTTCTCAGCTCTGGTAAGTTTTCCTCTTTGTCATAGCCTATCATTATTCAAATTAGGAGTTACATCTTACACAATGCATGTTATTGCAATTTGCCTTGTTACCTATAATAATGTTTTAGGTCATGATGTTTTCTCTAAAGTATAGTATTTGCCATAGACGATTTTTGTCTGACTTCGGTGTGTTAGTGAAGCAAAATGTGTGGTCTCTCAGGACAGGAAGTGAAGGGGGTGGCTGGGGGGCTCTTTTTCATCGGCCTTGTTGTGGTTGTTGTGTCCTTGCTGGGTTGTGCTGGTGCCTATTTTGAGAGCAGATGCTTCATCATATTTGTAAGCATGATGCGCATAGACACTAATAACTTTTACCCTGTTTTCTGATTTGCAATAAAAGCTTGCTGTTAACATTTCCTCTTCTCTATTTTTTTAGTATATGTGCTTCTTAATAGTCATCATTCTGGGTCAGCTTTTCATCACCTTTGTGCTATTAATACGAAGAGAGAAGGCAAGTCTTTACATTATTTCTTTATACTGTAAGGAAAACACAGCTGACTTCAACTTCACACACGAGATTCCACATTCAACTGGTTGATAAAATGATTAAACAAATTGTCTAATGCACATTTAATGAATGTCACCAGATTGAGCAGTTTTTGAGGGATAATGTGGACGAGATCATTAGGCAGTACGGACCTGCCCTGTAATTCTGGCTGGAATACACAGCTTTGGAAACGGATCAGACATCTATAAAACGGTAACATATGTTGCCTTTTTCCATCATTACAACCTTTTTACTTATCCTCCCTGTTTTAATTTACACACTAAAGCAGTTTATTTGGTGATAGGGCTGTGAGAAGGTTTTAGTGGACTGGCTAGAGATGAATATAATCGTAATATTTGGAATGGATGCTGGGCTTCTTTTGATTCAGGTAAGAATAAGGAGAGACCAAACAGTTTTTGAGGGATAATGTGGACGAGATCATTAGGCAGTACGGACGAAATGAAACCCAAACGTCTTGGAAACTTCTAGACAGTGTGCAGACTTCTGTACGTGCCTGATGTACACTTGAATGCAAGATGACTGTATGATTAGAACTATTTTATCTGACAATCTGCTATAGGAAGGTGTGTTTTTGATATAAGTGCATTTTCTTTTTGCTGTAGGCACAATGCTGTGGTAGGCTGACCTCAAATGAATGGAGGAATAACACAGTTATTGAGTCGCTGGGGGAGACTGACATCTACCCTTGCTCCTGTTTTAACGGGACCTGCCCTGTAATTCTGGCTGGAACACACAGCTTTGGAAACGGATCAGACATCTATAAAACGGTAACATATGTTGCCTTTTTCCATCATTACAACCTTTTTACTTATCCTCCCTGTTTTAATTTACACACTAAAGCAGTTTATTTGGTGATAGGGCTGTGAGAAGGTTTTAGTGGACTGGCTAGAGATGAATATAATCGTAATATTTGGAATGGATGCTGGGCTTCTTTTGATTCAGGTAAGAATAAGGAGAGACCAAAAAATGTAATTATTTTTCACACAATATATAACCAATTTAAAATATATTGTTGGTTAATTAAAAGTTAAGCATCTTGGACTTAGCTTAAAAAAATTTAAATAAATAAAAAAATCGTTGTATGTTTCTCCCTTGGAAGTGCATGTACAATACAAGTTAAACATCTTTGACTTATACAGCCAAAAATTTTTTTAAATAAATAAATAATTAATTGCTGAACATCTCTACCTTGTAGGTGTATAGTGCAACTCATTTTAGTGGTAGAGCTTAACTTGTATTTAACCTGAAATACAATAAAATAAATAAACAAAACTACAAATATTAAAAAAATAAATATTAATTGTTGTATATTCCTCCTTGGAAGTGCATAGTGCAATTCAAGTTAATCATCTTTCACAGCAAAAAATAAAACAAAATAAAAATAATTGTTGAATATTTTTCCCTTGCAAGTGTATAATCCAATTAATTTTAGTGATTGATCGTAACTTGTATTTAACCTGAAACAAATAAAATAAAATGAAATATTAAATAAAATTAATCTTTTTTAAACAATACAAATGGAATGCATTTTAGTGACTGAAGCTTAACTTGTATCTAACCTGTCCTGGAATATTTCTAAACTGAGATAGGATATTAAAAGTAGTATTTTAACATTAAAAAAAATCAAAATCAAAATGATTTTGTATAGTTTTGTCTCGTAATGCTCAGATTCTGCAGTTTATCTTTGGCGTCCAGACCTTCAAATGCATCGGCCGCAAGACGAGGGAACTGCATCCCAATAATCTACTGAACGACATGGAGGAGAATCCAGCAGCGCAGCCTGAACAACAGCAGTACAGTATGAAAAATCAGCAGTTTGATAGTCAAACCTATGACCCTCAAATGGACAGTGGCAACTATCATCACGGTGGATATGTTGACGGGAATTATGACCAGTATATCAATCCTGAATTTTATCCAGAACAGGATAACAGTCAAATGTACAATAGCCAACATAATTTGCATTACCAACAGGGCTACAATCAGGGATATATAGAACAATAGAATTACCATCAGAGCTACAATCCTTACTGAAGTCACATTTCTTCTCTCATGTAACGTGATCAGATTGGGATGGGCTAATTTGCTGTTTTAAAAATAGCATTCTGTACAAAGAGCAAGCTGTGGTCTGTGCCTGACCAAAGACATCTAAAACCTTCTTGTAAGACCATTGTTTTGTTTCACTAAGTTCAGGTTAGTGCCTGTTCCCAGGAGTATCATCTGTCATTTTAAAGACAACCAGCATCTTTTTCTCAAACAATTCATTCCAGACCTCTAAAATCGAAGGCTTTTTAAGACAAAATATTTCCGTAGAAGTCACAGTTCAGGGTCTGATGACAGACAATTAACTATCTCTCTTTTTTTTTTGGCAGATTTCATAAGTTTCCATTTTTTATTTAAATGCCCCATGACAAGTTTACAGGTATTGTATAACTGTAGTAGTGTAATTATATAAAAATACTGACCTGAAATTATAACCAATATAATATGAGACAATCCACACAATATAACTACCAACAATAATATTAAAACACTGTTATATGGCAAAAATATTCAAAACACTTTTTAAATAAAGAATAAAAATCTACGTTTTCTACTTGAACCATACAATTAAAAATAAACATGTTTTATATACAAAGGCTAGATTTACATTATTTGGATTAATCAATAGAGAACAAAAAAAAACAATGTGTATAAACCATTAGTCATCCTTTGCTTTTCGTGCCACGAAGATTCCTCGCTCTCGGTTGTGATATTCAGATTATTCGAGAGGTTGTTTTGTAAATCACTGCACACTCAGACCTGCTTTATGAGTCAAGACTTGATGTTAATGACACTGGGGGCCATTTAGTGTGAGTCGGCGAGTCAAGAGTGGGCTTTGACTGAAGTTTGATGGACAACACTCTCTATAGGCCATAAAGAGCGCCGTGTCTGTCTGCATGAGAGGGCCCTTTGTTACGGTCGCTTTGTGGTTGATGATAGCCAGGCTGACATTACCGACCTCGTGTGGTTATGAGTTGGCAGTCATGCTTTACGACAACAGTTGACAGCGCACGCATTGATGGAGACAAAGAGAAAGTTACATGGAGAGGAGCTTGAGATTTCCACTGCCCGTACCTGATTCTACTCTGGACAGAGTGATGCACAATGTGTCAATGGGGGATTTTCAGGACTGTCTGGGATGCGCTGGGACAGTGACACAAAAGTTATTCCAAAATAGCATAAAAGGGTCAACATGGTGAACATGTTCATCATAAAATAGTATAAACCCACAATGTCTCCAAACCCGTTTTTCTTAATTGTGTACAATATATCTATTATTTTATAGTTTGAAACCAAATAAACTTCTTCTCGTCAAATGTTCTACTTGAAAAATGTGTAAATTGTACTTTATTTCTTCAAAATAGCCTAAAGATAACTTGGTTTGGTATTTTGTTATATAATGCATTGGAAATCATACATTAAGTGCAGCTTAAGTGTTCAAACACTTTTTGGGGCTTTTGTTGTTCGGAAAGAAGCCGCATGAACATTGACTAATCTATCAAATCCGAACATTGAAGAATCTATTCTAATCTACTCAGTTGGTCTTAATCTCATGACAATGCCATTTAGTTACAGTGAGCAAGAAAACAGACACCGGAATAGAATGAGCGAGAGATGCTATAGCAAGTGAGATTGAATTATGGGACATGAGTCATGTTGACGTTCTTTACTATGTGAGCTCTTTTCTCATGCTCTCTGGCTTTCCCCATGTTGTCACGAAAACAATCAGCTCTTGTTGCACCGCTGGAGTGTGCAAGCATGTGGACTAGGCCAAACTAGTTAATAAAATGCAGCCGGACCGATGACCTGGATTACAGACCCTCTCAAGAGGGACAGAGACATTTGGTTCTTCCAGCCAGAGTGTGTTTGTGTGAGAGACACAGAGTTTGAACGTGTTAAAACCAAAGTGGATGAAACAAGAGCCGTCAGATCCTTCCCTCTTCAGAAGAACCGGATCTTGTGAGGATCTCATCTGGCTCAATATTGGTTAATAAACGAGTAGTAAACGGCAAAAATCTTGGCACTGTTGTCCCCCGCTCTAAATCAAACGTGTTTCTAGACAAGCCCGTGCTCTGTTCCAAAGATGTTTTCTGGTGCAAAATAAACCACTATCCTCATGCAATGGGGCGCTGGCACAAAAAAGCCATTTATCCTCCTCGCAGAGGCCTGCAGGACCAGTGGCGTTCCTCAAAGCCAACAAGCTGCCGCGGGCATCGCAGCAGACCAGCCAATGCGCTCATCAAAGAGCCACACTTCCTGCCGGATGAAATTCTCCCATAGTTTTTAGGATAGCATCCCGGAATATCAGACTCTCACTGATTAGTTAAGCCTGACACAAGTTGCGATTCGTCTCTTCAGCCTAATGTTTTTTTTGTGGTGAGCAGGTACAGCTTGATGAGTAAGTCTAGAAACATCTCATGCATCTCTCCTGGAACAGCCAAAATATTCCCTTCATTGTCCGCTTCATAAACCTGGAGATTTCCACCACAAAATACTGCCATTTCCAATGAGTTTCCTCATGCATTTTTCATTTAAACCTCTGTGTCTGCACACCCTAAAGAATCCAGCCACGCCCTGTAAGGATGCCACATGTTGATGGAAAAAAAGGCTTTGTTAGGTCTTGTTTACTAACTGGTAAACAGACAAAGACTTGTTGCAAGTAACAGACTGCTACCTGTCCTGCTGGCTGCTAGAGCTGGAATCAGGGTCCCCTTGCGCAGCTCCGCTGTGGGGCCCAGTTCTGCTTTCTTCAGCTCCGTCGTGGGGCTCATTCAAGCTGACTTCATGCATTCTTTGCACACAACAGCCGCTTCTTCTGAATACCTGTGGATAGGTATAGATTAAGATAACTTTGATGGATGACCAGTACTTTCTATCATAGTTGATTGACCTCAATGCATTTAGGCGTGCAAAATACGGGTGCTTTCAAAACAGAGCGCTGTCAATGCAAAAATGGCAAAAATTTCAACGAACGCCTTCAGGGCTTCCTCACTATTGTGACGCAAGCTACTGCTGCTGGTAAACATGGCTATATTGTGTAAAATATAAGGGTACTAACTTACCATCTTGACAGAGAGGACCAGAAGTGCCATGCTGGGGATGATGAACAGCGCCAAGAGCCCGTGAATCGCTCCGTTCATACCGTTCTGCTGTCTGCTTTGACCTGCCAGAACATAAAAGCACATTCCCTTCTTAGTTCTTGCGTGTACAGTACACTATATAGCATGAAGTATGTGGACACCTGAATGCCACACCCATATGTGTTTGTTGAACATTTCATTTGAAAAGCATTGGCATTAATGAGGTCTTTAATCTCCCTAACGGCTTCCATTTTTCTTGAAAGGCTTTCCAGTAGATGTTGGGACATGGCTGTGGGGATTCGCTTTCATTCAGACAGAAGAGCATCAGAAAGACAGTGTTAGTCTTCTCAATGTCATTTACGAAGAGCTTTAAAAAAAATTGTTATTGATACAACGGAGACAAAAAATAGTTATGATGACGATAATTAAGTTAAGTTATATTGACAAAAATAACTATTTTAATTGTGATTTTACTGTTGGCCATGAGAATATTATACGGAAAAAAAAAAACACTGCAAGATATTAACAATGGACTAACACAATTTTTCTAGAAAATTCTATATATATATTTTTTTTTTCAAATAATCCAATCATAGTTTATATATTATATCAGGCATTCCAAAACATTTTTTTGTCAGCGTAACTCCTTTGACAAAAATGTCTGAAGTACCCATCTATCACACACACACCCAACATAAACATAATATTACAAGTTGACACGAATGCACAAGAAAACCTGAACTAAGTTACATGCTAATTAGAATTCACATTGTGAATACGGTCTTTCTGTATTTAAAGCACAATGCATTAAAACACGCACAATGAATGAATAAAGCATTAATCATTCATAACACTGTATTGCAATACTGTAGTCATTACAATGTTATTATTTCATGAGCTCATGTTCTCACAACAAGGACAGTTTTTATATTCTGTTAAATGTTGAGATAAAATTCATATTAAAATGTTTGGATATTTAATTTAGCACTTTCTCAACGTAATATTGACTAAATGTAGAGGATATTTAAAGAATATATGTCTTTTATATTTATACATTTAAAGAATAATAGACAAAATGTTTGACTAAAACTATCAAATTAATGCAGTAAGGGCATCAGGTTTGGGCTTTGTGAAGGCCCGTCAAGTTCAGCCACTCCGGGACATTCGGTTTCACACAATTCTCTAGAATGTTATCACATGCTTGGATGGTGCTACACTCCTGTTTTACAAACAACATATCTACTGATTTACCGGCTATAGTGTGTGTTTTGCACACATGTACTCAAATTTTGCATGCATTTGCTCAAGTTTTAACAAATTTATGCGCAGCCCAGATGGAATCAGCATCCTTGGAACTCTGAAAAACAGCATTTTTCAGGCGAATTGGTTCTACATATCCGCCATTCTTTGCTTTATCATGTTTACATCGGTTCTGCAGAATTCTCATGTTCTCTTCCAAAAAAAGATTCCATCTAGACCTGCTCATGCATCATATACATTAAAAATCAACAAAAAAATATATATATATTTTGCACATTCACCTGGTGTGAATGGAGGAGCTGCGGGGATCTGGCAAGGAGGAGGTGTGCAGTCATGAAACTTGCCAAGTGTAGATCCAGCCGCTGTAAGAACCTCTTTAACATGGCTAAAGTAACGTCTAGTCGGCCACTTTCCCCTTCTATAGTGGCACTCGAATGTTTGCATTGTCACCTCCTAGAGAAGACAAACAAACCAGAGTGAACCGACAGCCACGACAACGTTTCAAAGAATGCAAATGTAAATGCAAGGAGATTACCAGCTCCTCATTGTCCAGAGTGAAACGAAAACCCTCCAGCATTGTTATAAAAATAGTGATGTTCACTTTATTGGTGGACAGATTGCCAAACTTGAGGGCCAATGTTTTTAAACTGCTTTCGACGTGATACAGGTTCACATATAGCCAGCAAGCTCCACCCTTAGATATTAGAAAAGAAAACATGATTAGGTGTCACTTGTGGAACTGTCACAAACCACAACAACTGTAATACATAATGTTTTATTGGATAATAGCCCTAAAATGTATTTGGACACTTAAGTCACACTTAAAAATGTAGTCAATTGCATGATATTCAAGCCGGGTGGAATTTTAATTTGAATTACATTTGAATGCAAAACTTTTCAAGATATAATGTTTGTTAGGTTTAAATGATAAAAACAACAAATACATTGTTTAAACTTAAGAAAATATTATGGAATATAGAAAGGTATTAAGACAGTTTACAAATGTATGTGAACTACACCTGCTAGGAGAACTAACTTTATGCAATCACTAAAATTCACTTTCAATTCAGCCTTCGCAAAAATCAGAAAAGTGAAGTTAGTTCAGAGATAAGCTTTAGCATCATTTGTTTGCCACATGGTTTGGTATTTTATCTATTACAAATAAAACTCATACATGAAGTGCGGTTCAAAGAGTGCAAATACGAGTTTGGGCCACTATAAATGTATCCACATGAATAATAGAGCAAACATAGTCAACCGTGTCATCAAATATTAGCATTTATCACGCTTACCACATCCTTGGTGATGAAGCGAATAGGTATTCTGTAGTCACTGGGAATGTTTTCACTCTGACGGGATGAAAATACAAGAATTGGTTGGTTGTATAGCAGAAAAAAACATCCTGACTAGCAAAACATTTTTTGTAAATGTCATTGATTTCCCTGCTGGGAAAAAACAGCTAAAACTAGATGGTTTATTGATCTTAGCTGGTTTCCCAGCCCATTAGCCTGTTAATGGTCTCCCTGCATGGCTAAACTGATCTTCAGCTAGACTTCCAGCATCAAACCCCCTCTAAAATAGCTTTCAGACCAACTCGAGAGACCAATAAACCATCATCCACAAAGTAAGAACATTGAAAGCAAGAAAACAATGAATAAAACTTCTTCTGCAAATCTTACCAGTATGTCCAACGTGGCCACATCATCTGTTAAAGGGCTTCCAAAAACACCTGAGCAGGTCACAAGCCCAGAAAAAAGCAACACTAATACACAAATGCTTTCTCCGATCTACAACGAAAAAGTCTCAATGTAGTTACAGTCATTTAGACAGTAAGTAACGCGCGCAATGCCAAACACCTATCCAGCCTGAACACGATCACAGGATACATCCTAATCGTTTCACTAAACTACCCCTATAAGTAATGAAAAGTAATCAACGATTGCATAATTTGTGTTAGTTGAGCCACCTCGCATTTGGTTACGCTGTGGGTGTGCGTGCGCGTGTACTCACCTTAACCTCCCTCATGTGGAACATGGGAATATTAAAAACAAATCAGCCGTGACTCCTTACTTTCTTCGTTTGCCCCGACAACGGAATGCAGGCATGTTTCCACCTGTACATCTGACAGGAGATAATCACAGGACGGGCTCGGGATCAGTGGTTTTGGCGTGTCTTTCTCCTCCGGTCCCGATGGAGAGCATGGCGTGCTCAGTGCGCGAAGCCTGAGCGCAATTTCGCCCTGCAGCGCTTCTGTGAACTGAATGGGGGCGGATGGACTTGTCCTCTGTGTTTAAGAGGTAGGGCGCTTTGACTCACTTATAACGTGTAAAATAGAGAAAACCATTCAAGGAAACCTGGGTGACTCATCCAGACCTCAATCACAAGTGACAGTGTGGGAGTTTCGTATGGAAAAAAGAAAAGCAAATGTTAAACCAGCCTAAGACTGTTTGCTGGTCTTGGCCGAGTTGAGCTGGCCCCCCTAGTGCTCCAAAGTCTAAAACCATCCCGACCAAATGAAATGAAAAGTACCTCAAACCAGCTGAGAAATGGCCAAAATCCCTCTTAAAAACAACTGCACCAGCCCTCTAAAAACTGTTGAAAAGTGTCCCAAACACCCTGAAACAATGGTTTGCTGGTCGCTCAGCCTGATAACTTGGAATTAAAGTGGTTTTGGGCACATTTCAGAAGGGGCATACTGTGAGACCTGCTAAATACAACTTAAATTTAGCTAAGACCAGTTTAAGATGTTTTCTTTTTCTGTTTAACAAGGTAATAACAGTCTGTAATTACAAGATGATCCACAAAAGAATTGCACAATAGTACATGTAGTTCATTATTAACACCAAATAATTACCAGTATTAAAGGAGAAGTTCACTTCCAGACCAAGATGTACAGATAATGTACTCACCCCCTTGTCATCCAAGATGTTCATGTCTTTCTTTCTTCAGTCGTAAATAAATTATGTTTTTTTGAAGAAAACATTTCAGGAATTATCTCCATATAATGGACTTATATGGTGCCCTCGAGTTGGAACTTCCAAAATGCATTTTCAATGCAGCTTCAATGGGCTCTAAACGACCCCAGCCGAGGAAGAAGGGTCTTATCTAGCGAAACAATCGGTCATTTAAAAAAAAAAATAATAATAATAATAAAAATGTAAATACTTTTTATTCTCAAACGCTCCTCTTGTGTAGCTCTGCATTGCGCATGCGTGCTCTCTACAGTCCCGTTCGAAACAGTTAGGGTAGGTCGAAAAACTCCCATCTCATTTTCTCCTTTAACTTTAAAATTGTCCTACATGACTGCAGAAGTGTTTACAAAGCGAACATGCAAAGAAGGTCAAACGCCCAGGGGCATAGATCACGCGGGGGACGTGTCCCCCACACTTTTAATATCATGTTTGCATAGAGGTTTTCAAGAGCCAAGGTGTGAATAAATATAGATTTAAATTCAGAGAGACAGGATAGTCTGTGCATGATCTGATGTTTTATTCGGACCCAGAATAAGGCAAGATGAACATCACGGAGCGCAAAACACTTCATGCAGTGTATGTTTCATTCATACTGGAAGCCGGAGGAGGCTCTCCAGCAGAAAGTTGTACCAGGAAATCCCAAATATGGACAAAAGCGTCTATGGCTGTATGAAAACAGTTGTTTACTTTTCACAGAAAAACAGAAACGCTTGCAAACCTGAAGACATTAAACATATGATTGCGACAATATATGGTGTATTTGTGCTTTCTACAGTCATCTCCAGGTAATAAATAAAGTGTATGAACAATGCAGTGCTAATTGACATAGCATTCATTACAGTATAGAAACTATTCTGGCTTATTATGTGATAATTAAAAAATATATATGTGATAAATGTTTGTATTATATAAACAAATCATTATTATTGGTTATTGTCCAGCAGTGTATCTGATTTCTTATCCAGTTAAAAGCTAGAAATAAGAGAAAAATTAAAGTTGCCTATACACTACCAGTCAAAAGTTTTTGAACAGTAAGATTTTTAATGTTTTTAAAGAAGTCTCTTCTGTTCACCAATTTATTTGATCCAAAGTACAGCAAAACAGCAACATTTTGAAATATTTGTACTATTTAAAAATAACTGTTTTCTATTTAAATATATTTTAAAATGTAATTTATTCCTGTGATTTCAAAGCTAAATTTTTAGCATCATTACTCCAGTCACATGATCCTTCAGAAATCATTCTAATATTCTAATTTGCTGCTCAAAAAATAAATAAATAAATACAATTAAAAAAAAGAATATATATATTATTATAATGTTGAAAACAGCAGAGTAGATTTTTTCAGGTTTCTTTGATGAATAGAAAGTTCAGAAGAACAGCATTTATCTGAAATAGAAATATTTTATAACATTATAAATGTCTTTTGATCCATTTAAAGCATCCTTACTAAATAAAAGTATTAATGTCTATAATTTCTTTTCCAAAAAAAAAAATTACATTAATAATTGCGGAGTAGAATTTTTTAAGGTTTCTTTGATGAATAGAAAGTTCAGAAGAACAGCATTTATCTGAAATAGAAATATTTTATAACATTATAAATGTCTTTTGATCCATTTAAAGCATCCTTACTAAATAAAAGTATTAATGTCTATAATTTCTTTTCCCCCCAAAAAAATTACATTAATAATCCTTTTTTTATTAGCACAAAATACACTGTAATGTGAAGCCCAAAAATTAACACTTCATTATCTATTTATCTATCTACACAGACACACACACACGTATTATTACTAATTATTATTTAAATATATTGTTTAATAATTTAAATTGTTCATAGAAATAAAGTCTCCAAATTAATATTAATGCATTAGGTTTTATGAAATTACAATACATATATTTAATTGTTCATTACTATATATAAATTATAACTTAAATATAGTTTAATAATATTTTAAATTGTTCATAGAAATAAAAAGTCTCTATGTTAACATTAATGCATTAGGTTTTATGAAATTACAATAAATATATATAATATTTAATTGTTCATTAATTCATAACGATTTAATGTCATGGTTGAACTGTACCAAACATAACTTTATTTTAACTAAATACAAATCTACTTACCGTATATTCTTTTAACTTAATGTGAAGCATTTGGCTTTAGAATTAAACATCAATTTGATTTAACCCGTTTTAAGTGCTGTGTAATTAAATCCCACCTAGGTTGTAAAATTGTACTCAAATTAAACTCAATTAACAGTCATGTTTCAACATAAACCCAAGTGTGCAATCATGATGCGTTTACACTGCCACCTTGTGGTGACTAACAACTGATTTTCAACTTTCGTTTATGAAATGCATGACTGACGGGTGAATTAAGTTTTGACGGAATGGGTGTATCCCATACTTGTTGAGAGACAATATAGGGTGAAGTTTAAAATTAAAATTAAATATCTTGTCCAAAAAACATTCCACCCTTTCATATAATTACAAATAGAGTCACCTTTTTAACATTCCACTTTTAAGGTGAATAACATTTCTGAATGTTGATTTTAGTACTTCTAGACAAAAAAAAGCACAAGTTGTATGATTAGAAAAACAACTGAGGAATAAAATAATTGACCAACATCCGTTTAATGCGTTAAATAGCATGAAAAAAATTGCATTTGTGCTTTTGTTCTAATCTTTGGGACGTCCAAGGTGTATAAATGAGGGTGTAACAGGTGATAGCTTAAAATGGACTCTGTTAACATTCAAAGCCAATTACATCAAGTTCTGTGCATTTGACTGAGTGGTTTTGGCACAAAGAGATAAAACGGTGTAGTGGTAACACAAATCTGAGGTGTGTGACAGGCAGGAAAATCAAAGACTCAATCTTAGAAAGAAAAAAAAAAAATGTACACCTGAGAGAGAGAATCATGTGTCATTGGATATGGCCAAAGAGAAAGGCACAAAGTGACAGCAAGAGCTCATTTCCTCTTGCGGGGGCTCCTCTCAGAGTACTTTTTTTCATTGGAGTCCTTCTTGCTGCCCCGGTTAGATGTAGCTGGTGCTTGGCTTTTCTCCGCCATCTCAGAGGGCTCTTTGGGTTTCCTAGGCTTGTGATCAGCTGAAGCTGGTCTAGGTTTTCGGCTCCCTAAAGCCCAGGAGAAGACGGCTTTGATGAGGAAGATGCCAGCTAAAGTAGCTAACAGTGTTGAAAGCACGAGGGACCCCGAGAGGCCTTTGACGTGACCCCGAATGAGGCTAAGAACTTGGGATACAGGCGTGTCAGAACCGGGCTGAACTGGGAATTTCTCCTGCACACAAACAGACAAGTTTCAAATCAATCATCAGAACTCTAACTTTCTCAATGCATGTTGCTGGTTTTATTGTGAACGGTGCATGTTTGCTTTTCCTATTTTACCTTCAGTCCAGACTCCTCTAACAGTTTCTTAAGCGTGGGGTCATCGAGGTTCACAATGGGGAAAAAATCCTTTTTGTACTGCCGCCTCCACCAGTTCTGCAGATGGGTCCTTCCAAAATGACAAACAAAAGTACACTAAAGCTGAGAGCAGATTCAGACGGCAAACAAAGGGACAAATAGTAGCTACAACTCATCTCTTTCGAAGCTACTTGACTTCATCATAAAAAATAAAATTAAAAATTAAAAAAATGTATCTCTCTTTATTTATTCCTTCTCTTTCTAACTTGTACTTATTTGAACAATGTCTAAGAACTTGGTATTACAAGCACTTCCTGTGTCTGTTTGCCTCTTTAAGAAGAATCGCTTTATGTATCCCCCAATTGTAAGTCGCTTTGGATAAAAGCGTCTGCTAAATGACTAAATGTAAATGTAGTAATGAAAAACAACCGACAACCTACTAAATATTAATATTAAGTCAGATAGTTATTTTACCCTTAATTATATAGATTTAACCATTTACCTGTATATCATTTAGCATTATCACTTAAAATTAATAAAATGAACTTACTACAGAATTACTAACAAATTGAATATTTATAAATAAAAACAAAATTTGTTAATTATTAATTGTATTATGTGTAATGTATTAATTATACAGATTTAACATTTATCTGTATATCATTTAGAATTATCTTTAAAATTACAAAAGGAACATACAAAAAAAAATACTAACAAATGGGATATTTATAGACAAAAATTATATAATTTTATTATATTTAATATTAAAACTAATTCAGATTAGTGTATTAATTATACAGATTTAACTTTTACCTGTATATAATTTAGTTTTATCATTAAAATGATAAAAAGAACTAAAAAAAAAAAAGAAAGAAGTGAAATCAAGTTTTTTTTCCCTGAATACTGCCTTGGTTTTATTTGTTTTTCTCCCAAGAATAATTAATGGAACAATGGAGTCAATTCAATTAAACCTTTCCATTTACAAAATATGATGCAATGCTCACAAAATGAAGTTCTAATCTAAAACCACAATATTATGCACAATATATAAATGTGACTGAGTGTTAAATAGAGAGGTAAGGAGCTTACTTGTCTTTAGCAGGATCTGTGAAGTGGTAGTTATAAAGCTTGGCTTTGATTAGAGCTGGTGGTCTCTGACTAAAGGGGTACTGCGCTTCATCCACCTGAAGCAGACTAACCACTACAGGAAAGAAAAACAGAAAATTAGAGACATAATTCAACATCAGCATCAAGTAAATGTAATCTGATAAGTAAAGTGGTCGCTCACCCTCGGGTTTACCCTGTAGGAGGCGCTGTATGAGACCTGTAAACCAGGGGCTTGTATCATCCCCCCCTTGAGCTGCCTGCCACATCAGCCACTCCAGCCGTGGCTGGTGAGGTCCTACTATGGGTGGGACTGCATTCACATTTCCTGGTTTATACATAGGGTTCATTTCCTGCAACCGGATAAGAATACACCAGTCCACTGAGAATAAACTTTAAAGGGGTCATATGATGCAATTTCAAATTTTCCTTTCTCTTTGGAGTGTTACAAGTTGTTCGTGAAAACATAAGATCCCTAAAGTCTCAAACCCATAGAGATATTCTTCATAAAAGCTAAGTCGTCCCCACCCTCCTAAAACGCCTCGTTTAAACATGCTCCCACATGTCTATGTCACAATGTGGGAGGATTTGCATAACACCACCCAAATGTTCACGCAAAGAAAGGAGGAGTAACTTTGATTCTCGCTGTAGTATTGTTGTTGCCATCGCCGCCATGTCGTAGAGACGCTGTGTGCTTCGTTTTGAAAGCGAAACTACTTTGTTTGGCCTTCCAAAAGAGGACACAACTAGAAATCAGTGGTTAAGTTGTATTTACAACACTGTTCCAGAACAGTTCAACCCAAATATTCAGATGTGTGCAGCACATTTTACGGAGGACTGTTTCCTGAACCTGCAGAGTAGCCTACAATTCATCTGTGCACAAAGGCTGTTTCTATAAATTAAGGCAATTCCAACTTTACAAGGACAGTCTGGCGCTTCTGACTCACAGCCTGTAAGTACGTTTTCATATTTAAAGAATTTGCCACTGATGATTCAAATGCGAGTTTTGAGCGGTGTAGAGTAGCAATTGTTGTTTGTCGTTTCTCCGATTACAAATGCAGACATGGTTTTATATTTACGCGGCGCGATACACAACACAACGCGTAAAAAGACAGTGTAAGTCAATATAATCAGTACTCATGTACCCACTGGATACAACAAATGCCTAGTTTGTAACGGGTTTTTTTGGTTTTGTCTTGTCGCGCCGGGACACGCCATCACAGTATGGTAAGGGGCGTAACATTTCCGTCACGCGCTTGAGACATTCGGCCAATCACAACACACTGGATAGCTGTCCAATCAGAGCACACAGCGCTTTTCGGACCGATGAGCTTTGTAAAAATCAACGCGTTTCAGAAAGGCGGGGCATAGAGGAGAAACAATAACGTACAGTATGTGGAAAATAATGTGTTTAACGTAAAGTTAACGTAAACCGCATAAACACATTTCATTACACCAAATACACAACATAATGTTCTTTTTAGCAACGTCATATGACCCCTTTAACCTTTTCGTTGAGTGAAGACTTTGTGGAAACAATGGCTGTGACATTATTACGAGAGTAAAAAAAATAAAGTGATATGGATTATTGTAGAACGGCAACCTTTTCCACTTCCTTCTTACCGTCCATGTCAGCCCATCATAGCTGCCCTCTAAAATGATCTCAGGCCTGCCCTCAGCAGAGATCAATCTGTGCTGGATGCCGTATGCCCCGACCAGCTGGTACCTCTCTACGGCTCTGTACGCGTCTCGCACTGCAGGTAATACTTTACTGACTGACATGCCAGCCATGGATGTGTATGGAACCTGAGAGGAAACACCAACACACATGTACACACATTTACTTGCATAGAAAGGCTGGTAAAAATGCCTAAATTGTACCAGTGAAGTCCATAGATCATGTCTTATGTAGGGCTGCTGATTTAACAAGTTAATTTGGTGCAATAACCTATGGAGAAAATGAAGCGTTAAAATTACTAATGCATTTAATGCACCCTGCATCTCTATATCATCTAACATCGCATGCAGTTGCTGCAAGATGACTGACTGTGTGATGTGTCCTATTAGAATGCAGTTATATGCCCTTAAAATTCAACATATGAAGGCAAAAATGCCCGTGTATGGGTTTTTGTTTTATATTTAAATCATAGGATATAGTTTAGCAATATCACACAAGCAAGAGTATCGTTTTCCCCCCCAAATATCGGCACGATTGCAAATGTGATATTGATTTTATACAACAGTTCAATAAACAAGAAATTAATATCGTGTTGTAGACACAATATTGTTGGAGTTGTCTGTTTTTGCTCAATTTTGCCAACGAAAAGAGTTTCAAACAAATCCACAGCAGAACTGTTGTGCCTCCACACTTCCAAGTAAAACACAGAGGCGTTTCATTACTGAATGAATCCACGATTTTGAACACATCGAGTGAGCCAATGATTCAGTTACCCATTCATAAAGACTTGCTTCGTTTTTTAAATGAATCAGCCGTTTAAATGATTCAATCAATACTATCAAACCATCACCTCCTGGTGGTTTTATTTTCATACTTAGAAAAAATATTTCAATATTCCTTTAAAAAAAACAAAAGCCTATTCAAAACCCATTAACGTCATAGCATTATTAATGCAATTCTAATTGCAGTGTAAATGCATTCATGCAAACTCTGAATAGTGTAAATATACCTAAATCCCACTTCTATATATAATATACCTAAGTCCCACTTCAGATGCAGCTTCTGAAAACAATGTTATGGCCACACTGTAGCCTTAAAAGTTTGTGTAATAAATTGTTGAATCAAACAATTTCTTATTGAAACTACTTTTTTTAATCATCTCTATTCAATGGTTTTCTCATTTACAACAATGCATATTTTACTTTTGAGGGGTAATTTCTCATCCCAAATTGATGTGCTATTAATTTGCAATTAATTAGATTAATTACTTCATGTATGCCCTTGTACTTGCGTAAAAAGCAGGTAAAAATGCATACACTGTACCAGTGCAGTCCATAAAGATCAGATTTTATGCTTATGGACAGCAGAGGGCACTGTATCGCTTATGTGTAATAACTGGAGAAAAATGAAGGAAACAAGTCACATTTAGAATGTTATATTAACAATATAGTTATTTCTACAGGAAATGCAAACAAATGAATAAATGGAAAGTCACCAGTACAATTATATAACACTTGAGACAAAAGCTAGCAATTTTACTGGATGAGTCACAAAGCAGGCCTGCCCTCAGCAGAGATCAATCTGTGCTGGATGCCGTATGCCCCGACCAGCTGGTACCTCTCTACGGCTCTGTACGCGTCTCGCACTGCAGGTAATACTTTACTGACTGACATGCCAGCCATGGATGTGTATGGAACCTGAGAGGAAACACCAACACACATGTACACACATTTACTTGCATAGAAAGGCTGGTAAAAATGCCTAAATTGTACCAGTGAAGTCCATAGATCATGTCTTATGTAGGGCTGCTGATTTAACAAGTTAATTTGGTGCAATAACCTATGGAGAAAATGAAGCGTTAAAATTACTAATGCATTTAATGCACCCTGCATCTCTATATCATCTAACATCGCATGCAGTTGCTGCAAGATGACTGACTGTGTGATGTGTCCTATTAGAATGCAGTTATATGCCCTTAAAATTCAACATATGAAGGCAAAAATGCCCGTGTATGGGTTTTTGTTTTATATTTAAATCATAGGATATAGTTTAGCAATATCACACAAGCAAGAGTATCGTTTTCCCCCCCAAATATCGGCACGATTGCAAATGTGATATTGATTTTATACAACAGTTCAATAAACAAGAAATTAATATCGTGTTGTAGACACAATATTGTTGGAGTTGTCTGTTTTTGCTCAATTTTGCCAACGAAAAGAGTTTCAAACAAATCCACAGCAGAACTGTTGTGCCTCCACACTTCCAAGTAAAACACAGAGGCGTTTCATTACTGAATGAATCCACGATTTTGAACACATCGAGTGAGCCAATGATTCAGTTACCCATTCATAAAGACTTGCTTCGTTTTTTAAATGAATCAGCCGTTTAAATGATTCAATCAATACTATCAAACCATCACCTCCTGGTGGTTTTATTTTCATACTTAGAAAAAATATTTCAATATTCCTTTAAAAAAAACAAAAGCCTATTCAAAACCCATTAACGTCATAGCATTATTAATGCAATTCTAATTGCAGTGTAAATGCATTCATGCAAACTCTGAATAGTGTAAATATACCTAAATCCCACTTCTATATATAATATACCTAAGTCCCACTTCAGATGCAGCTTCTGAAAACAATGTTATGGCCACACTGTAGCCTTAAAAGTTTGTGTAATAAATTGTTGAATCAAACAATTTCTTATTGAAACTACTTTTTTTAATCATCTCTATTCAATGGTTTTCTCATTTACAACAATGCATATTTTACTTTTGAGGGGTAATTTCTCATCCCAAATTGATGTGCTATTAATTTGCAATTAATTAGATTAATTACTTCATGTATGCCCTTGTACTTGCGTAAAAAGCAGGTAAAAATGCATACACTGTACCAGTGCAGTCCATAAAGATCAGATTTTATGCTTATGGACAGCAGAGGGCACTGTATCGCTTATGTGTTATAACTGGAGCAAAATGAAGGAAACAAGTCACATTTAGAATGTTATATTAACAATATAGTTATTTCTACAGGAAATGCAAACAAATGAATAAATGGAAAGTCACCAGTACAATTATATAACACTTGAGACAAAAGCTAGCAATTTGACTGGATGAGTCACAAAGCCACCCAAAAAAAATAAAAAAATAAATCACAAATCAATTGTGATATTGCAGTTGCAACCAGATGTAGGACATGTAACTCACCACACTGAGGGCAAAGACGGCCGCAGCAGCCACTGTGATGACCGCCCACTGAAGGAGAGACCAGAGCTTGCTGGCAATACCTCGTGTGCACACACAACTGACAGAGGAAACAGATGGGAGATTTCTTGGCTTGTCTCTTGCAACAATGGACTTTGGCAAAATCATAGGCTGAAATTCTAAATCTTTACTTTTTGTACACACAAAAAAAATCTGCTTCTCAAAAACATTCCAGATTAAGCTTACTTGAGCATGGCAGACACCGCTTCCCAGGTGAATGACAGGACACCAATCCAGATAGTGAGCTCCTGAAAAACCTCCAGAAACGCATCAAATCCCTTTTGATTGAAACCTGAAAGAAAGTTCAGAAATAAATAGGACAGTAATGAATTAAATAATAATTAAACTAACTGATGCATTTGCTGGCCATATTTTAATTTGAGAAAGAACATGCTGGCTGAAACAGAATACGTTTCATATCACAAAACATCTTTAATAACACCACCACATCAGGCATAGCAGGTCAATCAGATTGATCTCCCAAAATTAGCAAAGAACATGTTGGGTTCATATTTCACCTCAACTTCAAAAGAAAAGAAAAGAGAAAAAAAGTAATCTTGCAAATAATTTTTTTTGCATATGAATGTAAAGAATTACATTTTTGCAAAATAAACTTTACTAAACAAATCTCATTAATATAATGTCAAAACTATTTTATATATTCTATATAAAAAAATTATATAAAAATTCAATATTTTATTTTTGCATTTATACTTCATGGTAGTATTTAGTTGTAATTTATGCAAATGTTTGTGTTCAAACTGGATTCTGGATTACTGTATTATTGATTATTTCTCATTAATTGTCGTGAATTGTTTTTATTTATTCAAGATATCTCTTCTGATTTTGGATTGAAATATAACCTTAACAAATCTCCACGAGATTCATCCTAACATTTCACAAAACAATTAATTCTAAGTTTGTACTCACATTTATAACTCTACAGTATTACCAAACTAAAGGAAACATCAGCACTTTTCCAAATCAATTTGAGATTTTTCATTTAAAGTCTCACTCACTTGTTTTGGATGACAGCGTTTTTTCTTCCCAGTTAATCTGTATCTTAAAGAGAGTAATAAAACAGTACAGGATGAACAGGTAGACAGCCAACTCCATCAGCAGCGTCAAATAAGAGACCAAGGCCTGTCCGTAGCCTAAAAAAAACACAGACATACACAAAATAAAAGCTCAGAAGTGTGAACACAAGTGTGGTACTGGCAGAACAAACAGATTTAATTAATATCAACTTAAATAAATTTTTTACTGAGATCTATTAATGAGCCTTTTAAATGGATAGTTCACCCAAAATGAAAATTCTGTCATTAATTACTAACCCTCATGTTGTTCCAAACCCGTAAGATCTTCATTCATCTATCTTTCTCTTCTGTGTCTTCTTCTCTTCTCTTAATTTGTGTTCTGAAGATGAACAAAGGTCTTACGGGTTTGGAACGAAATGAGGGCGAGTAATTAATGACACAATTTTCATTTTTGAGTGTACTGTCCCTTTAATCAGATCATTAGTGAAAATCTTGACTATCCCATCAGAAATTACTGCAAAAAAAGATAAGTTAGAGATATGTGGTCATACTTCTAGGCTTTTTTTCCTGGCCCTTCTTCTTTGGACCAGAATTGGAGTTGAAATGATCATCATCCAGCAATGAGAAGCTTAGGGTGATGCTCAGCAGGTTCAGAAGGCTGCAGTTACCAGTGAGGATGTAGCAGAGCTGGAGAAACAGCTGACAAAATGGTATAAAAAAAAAAAAGAGGTATAAGTGAAAAAGTCTTGCAGAACAATAACAATTCATTAAAATAATATTTCAGGTTTAAACTGTCACATTGTGTACTACTACAGAAAAGAACTGACTTACCCTTCAACTTAGTAATGCACTAAAAGTTTTTAATTATTTAATGCCATTTCAGAATGTCAGTATCAGAGAAATATGATATACAGTATATATATATATATATCTCCACACACAGTCACACACACACTTATATACAAACATTTTTTATAATTTGATATAATAATAATTTTATTTATTTAAACATTTCGGATGATTTTCATAAATTACCCTCTTAAAAACTTCTAATAAAAAATTACAACAAAAACAACATTACAATAACTAATACACAAACCGTATCTCATATACATATATAGTGTGGATTACATTTATATATACACTGGTACATAATTTGGCTGCAATATAACAAAGAGTGAACAATTTAAGGGGGTCTGAATACTTTCCGTACCCACTGTATATGTTTATTTTAATAAATTATCCTATTAAAAGCTAATAATAAAATATCACAATAAAAAACAACAACATTAGAACAACTACTACATAAAATCTTTCATAACACACAATTCCATTTAAATATGCATGCTATTTGAGATGTCAAGTTGTGGAAATACAATCCTAGGTGGACTTAACTTAAAAACTTGAATAAAATTGTAGTGGGGCCGGTAAAAAACATTACATTTAGATCCACTCTTCATATTTTCAACAAGAGGGATGCAGATATCTTTTAATGCAGGCATGCACACACACACACACACAATACTACACGCAACAAACCTGAACATAAAAGCCGAACAGTCTCAAACGCCGAATGGGAGCAAAGAATGTCACAAGAGGAACAGTGATTTCGCTCTGCAACACAACCACTGCTCCTAATCTCAGCAGCCAATCAGGAAGCTGATGGACGTACCAGGCCAAAAGAGTGGGGTTCATCTGGTTCTCCAAATGATGACTCAGTGCTGCAAAAGAGATGCTCGAGTTTTCAAAACACTGTAATCTACAGAGGAGTCAGTTTTTCCCACACAAAAATAGTTCTTGGCTATTTTCACCATTACTTCATGCAAATTCAAAGAAATATTCACTCTAATAAACATTGGTCCTTTCAGTATTTAAGTCCCTAGATTAACAAAACCTTATACTAATGGATGTTACATGATCTATAAATCATTTGGGAAGTGAATTTCCAGTGCTGTATAAGATTTCCTCATGAATAAAAGTGGGCGGTATGACGAGCACAAATAAACTGATCTCAATCAATACAGAATAAATAATGTTAAAAATGATTCATTTTACCTGACAGGTCATACCACGTAGGGTCGCCGCTGGCCAGCTTACTCACACCTGTGCAGAAGGTCAGCCGGAAAAACAGCCAACGGGTCAACCAGAAGCTCACAGGGTCATGATAACTGTAAGAGGAGTGACGGCGCAGCAAACCCAGCGGAGCTACAAGCACAGCCAGAACCCCAGCCTCCAACAGCAGCACGTCCCTATGAGAGCATTGGAACCAATCACAAACAATCAAACGCAATTACAAACTCCAGAAAGTCTGTGGTGTTAGCCTGTGAGAAACTTGCAGTTGTGTTGCTAAGGCATTGTGGGTTGTTGTCAGGCCATCATGATTCAGTTGTCAAAGTGTTTTTACCACTTTGCTATGCAGTCGATAGGTGTTTTGGGTGGTTATTTATCAGCCAAATTCAAAGAGCCCACCCACAAGTCTCTTTATTGTTGTTCCTGGATATGGCTAGGGTTCTTTAAACTTAAGTCAGCTTTTTGCCCATTTAATCATCAATTAATCATCAAAAGCACATAGTCCACTAACAGAATAGTAATCAAATGGACTGTAATCACATTCAATTTAATAGGCAGGCAGTGAAGTTTGTGGCCAGTTTTCCCTCTCATTCCCTCGCAGACCTTCTGCAGCAGAGAATTTGACTTGTAAATGCCCCAATTAGAGCCTCAACAACGATGGAGAAATAAACAAGCGGTTAAGGCTGTGTCGGTTATACAGAATGAGACACAGTAGGTCAAAATGCAAGTCATACATGACAAATTGTGAAACTCACCATTTGGAGTGGAGGAAGTCTCCACCGACCTATAAAACAAAACCTACACTGTCATCACTCAATTACGTTTCCGCAGAGACTACAATGTTATAAGCCTTTTAAAGAAGCTTTTGCCATGGCGGACAATAGATAAAAAGGACATTATACTGACATTATAGAGTGAAAGGTAGAGGGCCTGCAGGCAGAGGTAGATCAGACTGTCTCTCAGGGGCTCCAGCAGCACGGCGCCCAGGCCTAGTGCCACTCCAAGCAGGCACATGAGCTCCAAGGTCTGCTGGGGAGCCAGACCCAGAGACGGCCCCAGATACAGAAGGGACTCCTGCTCCAGCAGGGGCCGCTGCTCTTTTGGCATCTGTAGACGCACAGGGAGAATACCCTCATCTCCATACAAACCTGTACAGCGACAAAAACAGATGTAGGCTTAGTCAATTTTGATCATTCTTGGTCTTATTGTGCATGATATAACTGTGCACATTGTTAATCTATGACATTGGCCTGCTTTATTCTAAAAACTGTTTTCAATTGACATTTGTGTTGTCTTGCATTGCTTACATATCAAAATGTAATAATATAATATGGCCTTGAAACAACTTTCAATTTCAATTAAAAAAAAAAAAACCCAGAAAAACAAACATACAGCACAACCAATGTGGTCTGATTTAAAAAGAGTTATTAAAAAAAGTTATTTTTTACAGTTTGTAACATTATTTAATTAATTGATTCTGAATGAGATGTGTAGATACCTACCTATAGCTAGTTGTGTTGTAAATAAATAAAAACGCTACATTTGTAATAAATATTTATATGTAATATTTTTTATCATGACTGTACATGTATGTAAAACATAAATAACTAAATAAATATAAACCAATAAAATAAGTAAACGAGTAAATAAATAAAAATATATTTTTATTTCAACTATACTATATTATAACTACTATAATTATGTAAACATAATAACAATAAATACATTTATATTTAGCCAGCTATTTTTTTATTATAACCACTATACTTATGTAAACATAATAAATAAATAAATATTTAGACAACTATTTTATATTATAACAACTATACTTATGTAAACATAACGATAATGATAATAATAATAAATATGTTGCCAAACTATATTTTTATTATAACTATTAGTCTCCAGCATCTCCACTACCCTACAATGGTTGGATGGATGGACTGATGGATGTTTTTAATATAACTATACTCCTGTACAATCAATCAATAAATACATAAATATCCTTTTGGAGGTAAGACGAGTTCCGAATGCCATTTAATATTGACTTTAAAGCTGAATTGATGAGTGAGGCATAAAAAGGTGGCAATATGGAGAAAGAAAAAAAACAGATCATATTTCATTGGGCAAATATGCAGATTAGAAACACTGCGCCATGCCGCCGGTGGTGACAGACTGCACTCGAGGTCTGCACACAATAATAAGTTGTGTTTGTTTGCTCAGTGACCGTAAAAGCACAAAGCATCAAGCGTCATGTAAACATTCATTCAACAGAACACCACAGGTGCACACTGCCATGACCATGAGCGAAACAAACCCGTCCTGTGACTTTTTAATGCCTCAAGTACAGACGCCCCAGATGCCCTAAACACTGCAATACCACTGGATGCAAACAGGTGCACTGTGAAATACTCCTTTAGGCTACTTGCTAACAGTTAATGAACAACAGACAGATGTAGAGTACAGAGAGATCAGGAAATACTACTTCACTGTTACAGACCGTTGATAAACTGAGCTCATTTTTAATGTGACTGAACTCTTAAGGTGGATGGCGGTTGGCAGAGGTTGCAAAGTTGCATATCCACATTTTTGGCCTGCAAGCCACAGCAAGAGTGAGCGCATAGCAGGCTGGTTTGAGTTAGAAAACAGGCCGTGTATTGTGGCAGTGCCAACGTATGACTCACGATTGCTCTTTGAATTACTCCATTTTGGCAATAGACCCAGTTCTGCCACAAGCGGCTCCTCAAGGCACACTGCCTTAGAGGATTGTTTCCCACGGGAGGGAAAAGACTCCATGCATAATCACTGAGACCTTGAGTTTAGCTCTGATCGGAAAATATTTTTGCAGGAACTGAAACTCTGAAAATGCCCCTTCTGCTGAGTGCTACACATGCACAGTTGGGAGTCAAACAACCCAACGGGAAGAGAGCTATTATTCAGTGCACATGATTTCCTTTATCTGTGAGCAACACAGTTTGCTTGTGGCCAGATTTGACAGTACTCAGCTTTTTGTAATGAACAAACACTGGGCTCTAACTAGGGCTGTGCAATAAATCGAAATTATCGAAATATCGCACATATCGCTACGGCTTGCAATATTTGGCGCATTGAACAAAAGACAAAGAGAAAATCACCCACTGCTCTTACCAAAATAACTTTTGTAGCTTAAATAAGAATCAGTGCATATTGAATTCAAATAGTAAATACTAAGCAGTGTTGTATTTTTCCTTTTTATTATTCAGTTCCTAAACTTATGTTAAAATGAAATTTTTATGTAATGCTAGAGTAAAACACTACCGTTCAATTTCAGAAGTTGTTGTAGGGGTGCTTTCTTCTCACAAAAAGTGAAACATGTATGCTAGTTATATTAGAAACAGAATGATTTTTATTCACCACTTAAGTGTGCGCAAACACAAGGAATTTGTTGTGGATTTACAGGAGCTCTTGATACATACATATACATATATATATATATATATGATAAGTTATAGATAGTTATAGAAGTTCACAGAACTGACTCAGCAACAGCTGAGTAGAACCGTTTCATCTGAGCATGTGGCACTTTAAGCATTATCGTATCACATATCGAATATCGCATGATATCACATTTTTCTTCAATATCGCACAGCCCTAGCGCTAAGCATATTCTGTTAAGACAGTCAGAATGTGATTTTTTTTCAAAAATGATTAACAAAAGTCTCACACTGAACAATTTTATTATTCAATTCACTAAAATAAATAGAATTATACTAATTATATATAAATAAGTAAATGGGAAAAACAAACCATAATTTTGGACAACAAACTGATGCATTGTGTATATTAAGTATATACGGCATATATATATATATATATATATATATATATACACACATTATATACAGAAAATATTATACACATACACACACACTATTAGCTATTTTTGTACAGTACCTTTACAGTTGCAGTTCATGAATTGTATTGCATATAATACATGTTATTTTCCAAAAAGCCTATTATAAAATCCATTGTGACAACTTACCCAACGGAGTATGACAACATTACTACTGGGGAATGCTGTCACAAAAGGTCAATGTGTTTTCATTATTGCCATTTTTCTTGGCCTATTCTGGTGCAAACGTTAAATAGCTTCTTTTTTTTTTGCAGCAAAAACTTTGAGGTATGTGCCAATACAGAAATAAACCCACCCAGTCTATACCATGTATGCACGCACGCATACATGCATATTTACAGAGAGAAAGAGAGTGTGTAATCCTGCACTTGGTAACACATTGCAAATGTATGAGTAACAATGCTTAGAGGTGAGAGCTTTTAAAACTGGATGAGGCGATTCTTTGTACACGGGCTGAGTGGAGCTTATTGACACTTTGAAATGTGTTGGTACAGTACATGCAGCAGTTTAACAAAAAAAAGGCTTGAACACACCATACACATGGCATATGCATCAAACGTTAAAAAGCTCACAGGCCCCTGAGTGATGACGGGTCACTACAGTGCGCACTCAGCACTAACTGGCGGGGCTCCCAAATATCAACACATGTGGAGGAACTGAAGCAGTGCTGCTCTATTCATTCGGGCATTATGTCTAGTTATCTCGAAGTTCAGAAATCTAATTAAAAAATATTAAGTCTACTGCGCAAATTCAGCTCTGCTCCCTCATCATGAAGATGCTGCTTGTGCACGAGGTCCTTCAAAAGTTTGAAAAGTGAGAATGATCCCCGTGACACGATTTTGCAGGTGAACGATTAGCGCCAATGAATGAATGAATGAATGAATGAATGAATCAAAGGAAATCCGTTTTGTTTTCGCTGACATTCCACAACACAGTTCAAGTTCAAGTGTAAACGCATCCATTCATTAGTGCCGCACCCAAAACCCACCAAACATCCATCTGCAAATAACACAGAAACTTCCCTACCTGGTATTTGAACGTAGATGGATGCAAAAGCACACACGTAAATAAGTGCAATACTCCACAAGAACCATTGTCTGGGCGTTTTTACTTCCCCCATCTTGGCGGCTTGCTGGAGGGATGAGGTGTCACTTTGTTTCGGGTGATTCGAGAGCTGAAGCTCATTGGAAAAATGAAGTGGAATCGGAGGGGTGGAGTTTGAATTAGTAATGAAAACTCCGACTCTCTTCCGCGAATCGATTCTTTTGAACAGCTCATTCGGTTCTTTTACGTCCTTACGTAATCACGCGGTCCCTGGCATTCCAACCAAATTCTCCAAAACCAAAACGTTCCAAAGAGCCGTTTAAAACCTAAATATCATTTTCATTTAATCATACTAAAAATGAATTTACAGTGACTGTTTTGTATGCCAGAAAACCAAAAAGAGAGTGCGACTCGAGAACCGATTCGAAAATGAATCATTTTATGAACCGGGTCAATCGATTCACTGAAAGATTCGATTTAAAATGATTTGTTCACTAGTTTGAATTTGTGACTCATGGGTGAACGTCCCAATGTCATTTCGAAAGCAGCAGAACAACTAGCCAAACAAAAAAATTAATAAACAACCAACTAGCCAAACGTCTAAAATGATTGTTAGTTTTTAGTTTTTTCTTGCTTATAGATAAAACGTGATTAAAGAAAGTATTGCTTTGCAAACAACATGACAACAAGCCACACAAGGAGTTTAATTAATATTTTAATATAGAGCTTTATTAAAGATTTTAGGCATTTCTGATAAAAGTTTGTATCCATGAGTGATAGGCCGACACTCGAGTGAACACAGCCGGTTTCCGAGGTTCACATTTCTTGCCGCCCCATGTTGTTAGTCCTACAAGGTAGTAGACCCCATTTTTTTCACACATAAGGGGTGCGCCAGAGTCCCCCTATACAACATAAAGAATTTAAGTGACCAGGACATGTGCATGTGAATAGTGATTGTTGAAACTACTGTAAGACTGTACCAAGCAGGAGGTGGAGGCTGCTGCATCCGTACACAGGAGGGATTTCATGTTGAAACGGTCACCCCAGCCCGTCATGCAGGCTTTCTCAGAAAGAGGCTTAACTCTGGCCATATGTAGAATATCAGGGTGCAGATCCACTAATATGAGAAAAATAAAACATAACTACTATAAGAAAATGTTAGCATGTGTTTGAGGAAGGAGCAAGTACAAAGTAGCAATGGACAATAAATATTTCACAGAAAACTGTGGTGTTTCCATTTATCATAAATTTTCCATATTTTCAGATGTAAAGTCAACATGAACTCAAGATTCACCCCATTAACTTAAAATAGGTGTCTGGTCTTCTTGTGCATGACTTAGCAATGCTTGTTCCTCCAATTAATCAAATCAAAAAATAATAATATGACCATCCATCCAAGACATTTCCCTGCCTTTGGCACAAGAATATGGGACAAGCTCCAGCATCCATGCCACAGTACATGGGACAAGTGGTTTGGAGAACAGATGGATGGAAATCAATCAAAAAATAAGAAAGAAAATTAAATGAAATAACCATCCATGACCAACATGGAACAAGCTATTTGGAGAATAGATGGGGAAAAAAATAGAACAAATGGATGGGGATAAAATAAAATAAAATAAAAATCCACAACCTACATAGGACAAGTGGTTTGGAGAATGGATGGATGGAAAAAAAAAATAAAAATAAATAATAATAAAAAAAATCAAATTAAATGATAAAATAAAAACAACCGTCCATGACCTACATAGGACAATTGGTTTGTTGACTATATTGAAAATAAAATGAAAGTAAACTTGGTTGAAAATGCTACTTTATATTGGTATTAATGCTGAACATTTAACTCACAGGTAGCTTTTCTTGTTCCCCAACCAGTTGTCACACAAGATGAGTTATCTTCATTAACCATTTCATCATCTTTATCGGTTATGCACACTGGAAATATCATCAGCCCTGGATGGAGCAAATGTTAAGCTGTACAACTCTGATTGTTGAGCAGGATCTCATGAAAAACACAGATAAGGTCATGTGATTCTATACCGATTCGAGCTGGGACAGATAAGCGGATCATGGAGAGATCGGAGGCAGGTGGGAAGCTGCCATCGTAAGCCAAACTCTGCACGCTTTCCACAGCTGCAGTCTGACCCGACATGAAGTTTAGGTCATGAGCTCCCAAGACCACAACATCTCCAGCACTGTGGGACAAACTGTCAGAGCATCACTGAGGGACAAATGCTGAACGTAGATCATTAAACTCATCGGGCTTACCTGGGAAGGCAATGACGCGGTGCAAGAACCCAGCGGGGGTGAACGAGGACGCCGCTACAGTAATGCGTATCGTGGCTCTGGAGGCTGACATGCCATGGCCAGGAGTTCGCACATGCCTCGCTCACGTTCTCCACCTTGAATGTGCCATCCACAGAGGACACCACCTGTGCCAAGTCACTGGGGAGTTGGCAGGACTCAATTTTGGCCTGACCACACTGCACTGAAGCCACGACATGGAAATGGACATGAACGATGACTAAAGCAATCAAAAAGGTACATGATGAGGTACAAGAGTCTCTTACCAGTTGAATCTGCTTCAGAGTCATCAGAAACAAGTTCATCTATATAATACAAGCAAAAAAAAAATAGCAGCTTTAGAGCAGCCACTGACACATCACTGAAATCTGAAAGTACATACCACGTATTGAAGACTTGATCCATTGCTTGTAGTGGTATAATGTGGTGTAGACCCCTGGTCTTTGGGCCCGACCACACAGCTGCAGTCTGACCCGACATGAAGTTTAGGTCATGAGCTCCCAAGACCACAACATCTCCAGCACTGTGGGACAAACTGTCAGAGCATCACTGAGGGACAAATGCTGAACGTAGATCATTAAACTCATCGGGCTTACCTGGGAAGGCAATGACGCGGTGCAAGAACCCAGCGGGGGTGAACGAGGACGCCGCTACAGTAATGCGTATCGTGGCTCTGGAGGCTGACATGCCACGGCCAGGAGTTCGCACATGCCTCGCTCACGTTCTCCACCTTGAATGTGCCATCCACAGAGGATACCACCTGTGCCAAGTCACCGGGGAGTTGGCAGGACTCAATTTTGGCCTGACCACACTGCACTGAAGCCACGACATGGAAATGGAAATGAACGATAACTAAAGCAATCAAAAAGGTACATGATGAGGTACAAGAGTCTCTTACCAGTTGAATCTGCTTCAGAGTCGTCAGAAACGAGTTCATCTATATAATACAAGCAAAAAAAAAAATAGCAGCTTTAGAGCAGCCACTGACACATCACTGAAATCTGAAAGTACATACCACGTATTGAAGACTCGATCCATTGCTTGTAGTGGTATAATGTGGTGTAGACCCCTGGTCTTTGGGCCCGACCACACCCGACCCCCCAGCTGACCACTCCAGCAAGCTTGTACCTATCATCTGTGAAACATGAGAGGGGCCCACCAGAGTCGCCCTGATCCAGAGGGGTCAATGAGTGTTCACAATAAAGGAAAAGGAAAAATCTTGCTTAAAATTATTAATTTATCATTCATAAATGTCATCAAGCTATTTGGACAGCTGCACCACATGACATTTTACAACCTAAACTTACTTTTACATTTTACAACCTAAGAGACTAACTAACCTTGACACATATTATACACACACACATATACTTTTATCATCAATGTATATATATATTTTTTTATATAATTTTATTATTTTTATAAAAGATTTATGGCTATGATTTGGCAGACCAGTTTTATTAACAAATATAGATTTATAATATTTCACAAATAATATTTTGATGATTGATTATGATGTTCTTTTATACATAATTTATTATATTATATTAATAATAATAAATTATTATTATTATTAATATCACTTAATTCAATATTAATCATTTATTAATGTGATTATTATTATTAATCATATTAATCACATGGCTTTGATTCAGCAGACAAGCTTTATTTATACATATTTTTATATTTTAATTATTATTCTATTTTATTAATAATTCCTATACATATTTTTCTAAGATATAAAAATAAAGAAATGACTTCATTTTAGTCTTCCTTATATCAGGGTAGCTGTATGACCCTGATATTTTTACTTTATGTATAACACATATTTTTGAATAAATTAAGTAATAGAACAAAAAGGAGCATCATGTCACTGACTGACATGAAGTAACTCTTCAGGTATTTGTTAGAAAAAAACCGCCGCAAATGTTTACCTGACATGCATCCATTCTGCCTTCCTCTGCTCCGGCACACACCATAAACTTAAGCATTTTCCCTCTGTAATATTTGTTACATGTTTGAGGCTCAAAAACAGTTACATTGACCTCTTGAAGTCCGGAGGCACGAGGCCCATCTATAAAGAGACAAATTCATCTAATCACATATAACCACTACCTATGAAGCCCATTACACAGGTTATACAGGACAAGGTTAACATATTCCTGCCATTAAGGGCCTTACTCTCTCTGATGGCGCCCCAGCCGGTGACGGTACAGGTTTTCCGAGGGGACAAGTCATTGTTTAAGATGCCAACAGGCCTCACACACTCATTAAACAGCAGGGGACTCTGCAGTTTCACCAGGGCAATATCATTCTCGTTTGTCTTTTGGTTGTAGCCCTTGTGGGAGATGATATTTTCCACCTCTACAGTCTTTAAATAAAACACAAGGGAGTTATACAAATTAAAATGGAATAAAAAAACAAAAAAAACAATCCACATTAGAAGGGTGTGAGATGTAAATAAACACACACAGACACTCACTTGATGGCAGGATTCATTCATATTCTCCAAATTGTGCATTCCAGCCACTGCCTTCCACAGTGACGCCTTTTTATAACTGCTCACAAACATGAACTTTGGTTTTAAGACACATATTTGCACTCATAGAGGTTTTATAGACCAGTGCCGGTGGGCTTACCGTTTGAAGCAGTGGCAGGCGGTAATAACCCACCGCAGGTCGAGGATGGCACCCCCGCAGGCTGGCATTTCTGAGTACTGCAGGGACACCTGCCAAGGCCATGAATGTGCCCATGCCTCCTGCCCACCTATAATCCGGCTCTCCTCCTCATCCTTCTCTGGGATGAAGGCACGAATGCCAGCCAGGTCTGAAAAACAGTGCAAGGAATCATATTTGCAGGCCAGCGGATGAAGTTATGCATTATGAACTCAGCCTTACCATAACACCCATTCCCAAAGATGCAGTTTGTCTCAGCTGAAGTGCCTCTATTGGGATTCTCTTTAGCATCTTAAAAGAAACAGTACACTATATGAAGTAGGAAATCATATGAACAATGCAAGTTATTCAAATCTTAGGTAACATGAGTTCACAAACAACAGCTTGAGACATGTTTAAGTTGCTGAGTCTCACCAGGGTCGGCCTTTGTCCAATTAAGAGAGAGCATTAAAATAAATAAACACTTTTTATGCATGTTCACAAATGTGTTTTTAAAAATGAGCGGAGAAGCTTACAAAGGGCGTTACAAGACAACACCACGCACAGAAAATATACAGCTGTGGGGCCATCAGCGCTTAATTAACTAAGTGGAATAATTCAGAGTTTCACCACTAGAGGTCAGCAAAGATCCAAGCGTTCGCGCGTTAAACTACACGCCCTGTGGATCGAAATCGTAATTTACTTCCATGTTTTGCACGACAAATCTTCCATTATTGCAACAATCTGTTGACGTTATATTTATAATGTACTGCTGAAAATACACGCAGAAAGTCAAAGTGAGCGTCTAAACCAATCTGCATCATTGTTCTGGCTACAGTCACACCAGAATACTAAACTTTAGTCCCAATGTTTTTATTACTAATTTCCATTGCTTGATAAAGGAATGTGTCTCATATGGAAAAGCCTACCATATGCTTAATGTATCATTCATTCACACAACTCAATTTAAAACGTCATTATAATCTGTGACCACTAGTGAAAAAGCCTCATTTGCATCTTTTCATTACAATAATAAATATGTCATTCTTGAGACGTGGGACAAAACAGGTCCAGCAATGGTAACTGCTATTAGCTTTAAAAAATAAAAATACTTTAAATGTCATGAGGGATTAATAATAGAATGTATTTAACACAAATATCACCTTCAATTTAATTTTCTCATTATTATACCAAATCTGTGTTTCTTAGTGTCCTCTCACTATGTCTAAAACAGTGTGTCCACAGAGAATTCAATCATTCATATGCAATAAAATGGATAAAAATGTTTTTTAATGATGAAAAAGAGCTTGTTTTATCAAAAGCAACACTTAATAATATCTCCTATCAAAGCAAGGTTGTTTTTTTAATGACACATGCATGTTTCATAAGATTTTAAAGTTGCGTCCCCACTTTTTGTCAACACCATCAGACATTCAATAAAATATAATAAAATCAGGGAACATCAGGGGCAGCTGTCACTCTAAAGGAGCCCCTTGCCACAGTTCACCTCTGCAGAGTACAGCAGTGTCAGACAGGCTCTGCTAAGTTTTAGTTTAAGAATATTTTAAATCCTAATGTTAATATTTCCTGTGTCACAGCCATGATATGTCAACACCATCTTCCAGGAAATAGTTTGAAATATTTAGATAATTTTATTCTCCTGGAGCAGGTTCCATAAGCATCTAGCATCAATAAGAAAATAGCTACTACATGAACTCCATTGGTTTTGTGAAAGAAATGCCAAATTTGTCAACACCGTCAGATGTCACCACCATAAGATTTTGTGTTCCAATGGTATATCAAAATACTTCAATGTGACTCTTGAATAAAAGCTTTATAAACAATAACGTACTCAGTTTGTTTTAATACAGTAATTGACTGATTCAATGTATTTGATACATCATTTGTCTGACAGTTGAGTTCAGGTCACGCTGTTCCTCTAGGCTCCTTGGAGTTTTTTCTCTAGTCTGTCCAGCTTGGCCAGGTTCTCCTTCAGCAGTTTAGATCCGGGTGAGAGGAGAAGAGCTCTTTGGTAGTACATTCTTGCTGCTGCATAGTCTCCCTAAAAAAATTAAAATAAATAAATAATCGAAAATAAGCACACGACAGTTCAAGTTACAATGGCATGAGAAAATATCCAGGTCATTTTTCATCTAATCAAAAGGAATAAATAAGAATTTATATATGCATTGTGACAATTTTGATCAGACTTTACAATAAGGTTTCTATTTGTTAACATTAATTTATTACTCTTAGTTAATTATAATTACAACATTTACTAATATGTTAGTAAAATCAAAAGTTGTATATGTTAATATTATTTAATGGACCTGAGTTAACATGAACTAACAATGATCAGATGTATTTTTTAACTAGTATTAGGAAAGATGAATAAATACTGCAACAAATGTTTTGCTCATTGTTACTTCATGTTAGTTAATCACTAACCAACAATAACTAATAGGACCTTAAAGTATCACTACTATAATTTTACTTTAAAAAATCTCAGTATTACTGTAATACAGTAATACAACTCATTTAGAATAGTTTTAAAATTATTTTAAAATGGTTTTAACAAACTGTGACTAAATCATTAATATATTAACATGATTTTTATGCTTTACATTATAAATGTATTAAATAATGTATTATAATTTAAACATTTAAATAAATGTATGCTTAATTGAAAACAAAAGATACAATTCACAGAAAACAAGTCAAATTATTTTATGTAATTTTGTATCTCAAGATATGGGGTGCTGTGTGTACATTAATGAGGAAAAAAATGAACTTAAATGATTTTAGCAAATGGCTGCAATATAACAAAGAGTGAAAAATTTAAGGGGGTCTGAATACTTTCCGTACCCACTGTATATATATAAAATGAAACCTATATTTTCAGATTTAATCCATTTATAGCCATTTCATTTTCTCTTTTACATTCTCACAATTTTTTTGTGCATTCTCAGTAAACATGGATCTTCAGAGCACTTCTAAAAGCAATATTTACACTTGTTTAAATATGTAAAAGCTGTTTAAATATGAAATAGCTGTTTGTCTTGTTCAAAATCATGCAGCATTCTCTCATGTACCAGTGTCTGAGATGAAAAATATTGTTAGGTTAGATGAAATCAAATGTGAATCATATTGCAAATTCAGTTGAAGGAAAGACTGTCTTGCTAAATCCTTTTCTATACTAGATCTGTGTCTATTTTAATGATGATTTTACAACAGTGGGATGTATACCGAATTACAGAACAATGCATTTCTGTGTGTATGGGTAGTTTAACACCTGGCCTTGGACAGCTATTTTGATAAAAAGTGATTGCATACATAATTGCCCATCTAGAGCAATATCAACATCTTCAACCACAAGCACACATTCACTGGTATTGGGTAATATTTATTAAATAATCATACATTACTTCACATTGGTTTCTGCTATGACATGTTTAGCACGGCTGCTGCTGAATTCAAGAAATGTTCTTGACAACAGTTCCTATGGCAACGAAATGTAAGTGCAAATATTTCGGTATAATCAAGAGTACCGCATAACAAATTCTGGCCACCGAAAATATGACTAAAATCCATTTAATGACCTAGTTCAAGGATACGCCATTATATATGATAATGTAATTCCAATTTAAAGAGACTTCAGAATTATAGCTTATGAGGATAAAAAATGATATGTAATTCACTGCACAGGTCAATATGCCTTTAGTCCAAGATACATTCCACAATATTGATGCATGAACAAGATAAAAGATCAAATTAAAGCACACGATGAATGACGCTGTCATTTTTTCCCTTCATTTAAATCACTCACAAAATCCTTATGTGAGAAAAAAACAAAACAAAACAAAAACAAAATACAAGTAGACCACCTACAACTGATCAGCCGTGTTCATGGAACACAGTAGATGGCTTGTCATATTTAATAACTCACAGCATTTGTCTGAAATGCTTTCTGAGGTTTTGCAGCCAGCGAAGCAGAACGGAGCTGCAGTGGTCGAGTGGAACGGCTCTGAAAAAATCCCTCTCAGAGACGGTACCTCTGCTTCGATTAAAACAAGAACAACAAACGCTCAATTTGTGCTGGTCTGAGTGCTCGTCTTGGGACGACACATGGGGAAAATGATGAGAACTTCTGAAATATGTTGCTGTGAGATACTGCATTATTATATACCCACATTATTACAAATAAAAATACATATATATATATATATATATATATATATATATATATATATATATATGTTCATTATGTGTTCCTTCACATTACAGTAATAGGAATTTATTATACAAGCTACTGAGAACATATTACAAAAATAATGTCACAATTATTTATGATCCTGTATTAATATATATTCATATAATGTATCATTATGTTTTCCTTCACATTACAGTAACAGGAATTTGTTTACAAGGTGCTGAGAATATATTATCTTGAAAATAATGTCAGTTATTTATTCTAACCAAAGCCTTCGATTTCTTTCCTTATGCAAAATATATTTTTCCTTTTAATTTTGTGGTGAAATTTCTTATCAGTTTTCATCAGACCTCAAAACTCAGCCATCATACCTTGATATGCTGAATGCCGCCCATATTCATCCAGGCTTGTGATTGGTCAGGTTTGAGCTCAACAGCAAGCTTGTAGCTCTGGAAACATTAGATCAACACATGACATATTATATATGGTATATGCATGAGATATAGCCAATGATGAATTCAACAGTATTAAACCACCAGTGAGATTCAACCTTTTATAAGAGTTTTGGGCCATGTAAGAAACACGATCCATTCAAGATTAAAAAAAAACAAACACTGGAGGCGCATTTAACAGTCTGGCTTTACCGCAGATGTGGTGTTGAAATACCGCAAAAAAAACTTTTTGTTCAGGGCTTTATAACCGAGCTTTGAACTGATAGCAGAATTATGTAAACCTGAGACCAGCCTGCTCTCGTCTGTCCTTTTGTGGTCTAAATAAAAGTAGAACTACAGGCCAAATATTAGCGGGAGACCTGGAATGAGTCCAGGATCGAAGAATGCAACCAAAACGGTCCTCGTGCTAATCAGAAATCCTGCCGAAGAAACGTAGTCCCCTTAAGGCAGCCAGGATGTTAAGAAACACAGAGGTTAAAGACAAAGCTTCCAGCGTGAGATGAAGTCTGGACTGTTTATATTTGTAGATGAAAGGAGGTGGGTGATGTTCCTGTGACAGTATCAGGGCACTGGCAAGCAACAGTGTGAAGGTGAGAGAAGCAGCAAGCAGCAGAGAACACAATTACCCAACATTTAGTCTCATGTAGACAAGACTATCAGCAAAACTGATCCATATTTCAGGTTATTCTGACTGAGAATTAAACAGGAAGGGGCCTGATTTACATGTCAAACAACCAATCTCAGTCTTTTATGTTTATTGTTATGGATATAACCCTGAAACCAAAACTGATATATATCTTGACATGTATGTATTTGCTCTGAAAAGGCTTTAAAGGTACGTTTTCAGTCAAAGGAACCATTCCACTGTAGCCATTCAATTCAAAATGATTAATGCAGTAAAATTCAGTAAAAAAAATAGTCAAAGATATCAAAGTGCCACATTCTTCGACATTCTTAGTATTTGATTTTGTCATTGACCTCACAAAAATATGTAAATTAACTTTTAATTTATAAAAGGAAAACATGCTCATAATACAATAAATTATCTAACAGTGAACAAGTTATTGTCTGTATGAAGTGCATCTTTCAAATACAATTTCATTACTGTAAAATGAATACTGTACTCATTATTATTTTATTGTAATGAAAATGCAGTAATGTGTCCAAAACATTTTTTTTAATTCAGAATAAATATTAAAAAATATATATATTAGCATTATTTTTATGCTTTGAAATGGAAAACAATATATACACACACAGTATATACTGTATATCATTGAAGATATAATTTCACTAAAAAAAGTCTAATTATTGTATGCAATACAATTTTTACAATTGTGCTTTACATATTAATTTTGATATATTACATAGTAATTTTTAAATATGGTATATTTCATTTTATTAAAATAATAATAAAATATAATTATTATATTATAATTTTTAATTCCTACTGATATATTTAAATAATGTTTCATTATTTTCTTCCTTCACATTATGTTTATGACATTTCTTTCTTTTCTTTTTTTTTTACGAGCTATTGAGAATTTATTGTTGTAAAAAATATTTATGGTCCTAAGTTAAAGCTTTATTTTCTTTATGGAAAATATTTCTTTCTTTATGAAAAATACAATGCTTTTCATAGAAGGTAAAAAGTATATCAATCAAAACAAAAAAAGAAACATCAAATCTTCTCAGAGGACTGATAAAAACCTGTATATCTTTACTCTTGGATTTTGTATAAATCCAGACAATCAAATTAGAGCTTTCCATCTGGGTAAAGCTCTTGCAATTTTTGTGTGTGATATGCATCAATCGGTCCGTGAACTGTCTATAGGCAAGCTAAGACATAGTAAACAAGAATGTGAAGAAAGGGAATATTTGAAGAGCTCTTCCCTCACATTGACAGCTGCAGATGTAGTTACCTTGAAGGCTCGATCAAGCTCGTTCATCTCTCTGAGCTGGTTGCCCATGGAGAAGTGCAGCTCTGCCTTCACAGCAGGGTCTGACGGCTCCTGCTGCAGTGCTGTCTTCAATGCATCCAATGCCTGAAACACACACACACACACACATACACTCATTAAGCTCAAAACTAGTGCTGAACTTCTTCTTGCTGAGGTTCTTTGTCTCTCAGGAGGCATATAGATTTCTCTTTGAGGCAGAGAACTGCTAAACTGAAGTAATAAAGTAATGAGTAAAGGCATGAGTAATAAAAAGAAATTATATGCAATTTATTCTAGTCTGAGATTCAATAAAATGTGCTTTGAACAGCTGAATGCACTGGCGAAATTAGGTAGGGGCAAAATTACGATCCGGGATGAATTGATTCATTGCCCCAAATGAGATGAAAAAAACCTTGTGTTTTTTCCGTTTCAATACGGTGTAATAAAAGGGAGTGCGCATGAATTGATGCACACAAAGACACATACACGCACCTCAGTGTGGTTGCCTTGTTTGCTGTAGATGGCAGACAACAAGCGGTAACATTCAATGCAGTTGCTGGTCTTTGAAATGATGCCCAGGGTCATTTTCTCGGCCTCCGCAGAGCGACCTGCCATAGCTAAAACCTGAGCCTGTGCAGACAACGAGATGGGAAGAGACAAAACGAGTTAAAAAGGGAAAGAGCGAATGAAAGAGCGACCAGAAAGGAACCCGAGAGGTCCCGGCCTCTGTTTCTTAAGGCGGTGATGTGAATCACACTGAAGGGTCTGTGGAGACTCAATTAAGCTGACATTCTACTCTTTGAAACACTCCAAGCAAACCGTTTACAAAGACCAGTGCCAATGCTGACAATTAATGGGATAGTTCACCCAAAAATGAAAAATTGCTGTTAATTTACTCACCCTTAGGCCATCAAGATGTAGAGTTTTTTCTTAAGTAGAACAGTAAAGAAGATTTTCAGCTGAAACCGTGGTCCTTGGTGATTCATAAAATGATATCCTTTTTTTATTCTCAAAATCGAGAAGCCGCTGACTTGCATTTTATGAATCACCAAGGACCAGTTTCAGCTAAAAATCTTTACTGTTCTACTCAAGAAAAAAATTCATCTACATCTTGGATGGGCTGAGGGTAAGCAAATTTTCACTTTTGGGTGAACTATCCCTTTAAAACAATATCAAACCTAAACCTAACTGGTTGGATTGGAAAAAATATTGAGAAAGGAAACGGTGGGATTTTTTTAGGCTAAAAAGTGACTATAATCTCACCAGGGCGAGCCAGATATCAGTGCTGTCGGGCTGAAGTGTGGCCGCCTCTCTGTAAACCTCCAGTGCCTCCTCATATCTACCGGTGTTGTAGTATAAAGCCCCAAGAGGGGTTAGGATATCCACCTTACGAACCACTTGCAGGGCCCTGTGAGACACACCCACATGTGATTTAGTTTACAGTTGTGCAAGCTGGATACACCGTTTAGATAATGGTATCATTTGATTTCATCTTACCTTTTGTACCATAGCTCCGCCTCTTTATTGTCATTGGACGAGCGAAGAAGACGACCCAGGTTCACCATGGCAACATAGTGAGATGGCTTGAGACGCACTGCTTCCTGGTAATGAAAGGCTGCACGATCTCCATGACCTAAACAGAGACAGGTAATATATAGGTTGTGTATAATTATGTGGTTGATATGAAGCACTAGAGATTTGAGATAGTAACACCCTAACAATCATCTAGCAATGACCTGGCAACCACTTTAAAAACCATGAAACAATGCACTGAAACCACTCAGAATATCTGAGCAACTGAACACAAAAACCCTGGTAAATGTCCAGAGGACCTTAGCAACCATCTAAAACATCCTAGCAACAACATAGGAATATCTTAAAAACTGCATACCAATGGGAACTGCTCAGAGCACCCTAGCAACCACATAGCAATGTGTAACCAAGCACATAGAACACCTTAACAAATGCATACTAACGCCCTAGCAACCACCTAGAACACCACAGCAACTGCACAAAATTCCCTGGCAACCACCTAAAACATCTTAGCAACTGCATACCAATACCCTATTAACCACTTTAAACATCTTAGCAACTGCAATCAATAACCTGAAAACTACCCAAAGTACCCTAGCAACCACATATCAAAGTGAAACTAACCAAGCATATAAAACACCTCAGTAAATGCCCTAGTAACCTCCAGAACACCCTAGAAACCATATAGTAACATAGAACCAACCATATAGCACACCTTAGCAGCTGCATACTAACACTCTAGCAAATATCCAAAATACCCTAGCAACTGCACAGCAATATGGAGTCAAGCAAATACCAACATCCTAGCAACCACATATAACATCTAAGCAACCACATAGCAATTTGGCCCCGGCAACCACCCAGAACATACTAGCAACCACATAGCAATGTGGAATCAAAAACATAGAACACCTTAGCAAATGCATACCATTACCCTAGCAACCACATAGCAACATGGAATGAACCAGTGACAGTGACGTGATATGTGGTCAAGTATGGTGACCCATACTTGGAATTAGTGCTCTGCATTTAACTCATCCAAAGTGCACACACACAGCAGTGAACACACACACCCGGAGCAGTGGGCAGCCATTTATGCTGCAGGGGATTCGGTTTCTTGCTCAAGGGCACCTCAGTCGTGATATTGAAGGTGGGAGAGAGCCCCCACCTACAATCCCTGCCGGTACGAGACTCGAACCTGCAACTTTCAATGCACTGAAACCACTCAGAATATCTGAGCAACTGAACACAAAAACCCTGGTAAATGTCCAGAGGACCTTAGCAACCATCTAAAACATCCTAGCAACAACATAGGAATATCTTAAAAACTGCATACCAATGGGAACTGCTCAGAGCACCCTAGCAACCACATAGCAATGTGTAACCAAGCACATAGAACACCTTAACAAATGCATACTAACGCCCTAGCAACCACCTAGAACACCACAGCAACTGCACAAAATTCCCTGGCAACCACCTAAAACATCTTAGCAACTGCATACCAATACCCTATTAACCACTTTAAACATCTTAGCAACTGCAATCAATAACCTGAAAACTACCCAAAGTACCCTAGCAACCACATATCAAAGTGAAACTAACCAAGCATATAAAACACCTCAGTAAATGCCCTAGTAACCTCCAGAACACCCTAGAAACCATATAGTAACATAGAACCAACCATATAGCACACCTTAGCAGCTGCATACTAACACTCTAGCAAATATCCAAAATACCCTAGCAACTGCACAGCAATATGGAGTCAAGCAAATACCAACATCCTAGCAACCACATATAACATCTAAGCAACCACATAGCAATTTGGCCCCGGCAACCACCCAGAACATACTAGCAACCACATAGCAATGTGGAATCAAAAACATAGAACACCTTAGCAAATGCATACCATTACCCTAGCAACCACATAGCAACATGGAATGAACCAGTGACAGTGACGTGATATGTGGTCAAGTATGGTGACCCATACTTGGAATTAGTGCTCTGCATTTAACTCATCCAAAGTGCACACACACAGCAGTGAACACACACACCCGGAGCAGTGGGCAGCCATTTATGCTGCAGGGGATTCGGTTTCTTGCTCAAGGGCACCTCAGCCGTGATATTGAAGGTGGGAGAGAGCCCCCACCTACAATCCCTGCCGGTACGAGACTCGAACCTGCAACTTTTGGGTTACGAGTCCGACTCTCTAACCATTAGGCCACGACTTCCCAACCAACCACATAGATCACCTTAGCAACTGCATACCAACACCCTAGCAACCACATAGCAACATGGAACGAAACAACACATAAAAAACCTCAGCAGAACATCAGAACAGCCACAGCCATATCACCCTGCAGCCCAAGACTGGTTGCCCACTGAAGCTAAGCAGGGTTGAGCCTGGTCAGTACCTGGATGGGAGACCTCATGGGAAAACTAGGTTGCTGTTGGAAGAGGTGCTAGTGAGGCCAGCAGGGGGTGCTCACCCTGTGGTCTGTGTGGGTCCTAACGCCCCAGTATAGTGATGGGGACACTATACTGTCAAAAATCACTGTCCTTCGGATGAGACGTTAAACCGAGGTCCTGCCTCTCTGTGGTCATTAAAAATCCCATGCCACTTCTAGTAAAGACTAGGGGTGTAACCCCGGTGTCCTGGCCAAATTACCAATTGTAAAAGCGCTTTGGGTGTACAGCAATACACAATAAAGCGCTATATAAATGCATCATTCATTCATCTTTGTTACCACATAAGGCCCTAACAACCGCCAAGAACACCCTAGCAACCAATCACATAAAGCATCTTAGCAACCACAAACCAACTAACACCCTAGCAACCACCTGGAACATCTTAGCTACTACATAAGGCCCAGGCAACCACCTAGAACACCCTAGCAAATGCATAGCAACAATGAATCAACCAAATATAACGTGCGCAATGCCCTGGCAACCATTTAAAGACCCTAGCATCGTGGCAGAGTTGATCTAGTTTAAAGAGTTCTAGAAGTTTCTTACCTGTGTCCACAAGGAACACGCCATAGTTGTTATGGAGGTCAGAACTGTCGGGGCAGTTCTCAATACCCTTGGTATAAATTTCATTTGCTTCTTTTGAATGTCCCTACACAAAATCCAGGGGAAAAATAAGTAATCCTTTTACAAAAAACATGGCCTTTATAAGATCAAAGAAAAAAACAGACCAAAAAGATCACTTTGTATGTGCCTCATTTACTAAAACGAGAACAAATGACAGAGAGCAAGACCTGGTCAGCGTATAGAGAGGCGAGGCTGGAGTAGGCATCAGCAAAATGGGGACCGAAATGAATAGATTCCTTCAACATTCTCTCCGCCTCTTCCTCCTTTCCCTGAGACCTGCAAAACAATAACACCATCATCCTCTTCCTCATATGCACAGACACAGTGGCTGTGTCCAAAACTGAAGGCAGCAGCACAAAAAACATAAAATTACTTCTGTGAACCACAACATCAAACAATATTTTTATCCTATCTACCATTCGGATGTGTCTGGGTGCCTTCCAACATTGGCATACGGCACACACATTTTTTTGTGTATTTACTTCAGAAGGTTACCAGTTTGTGTATTTGATGGAAGCTTGTATCCGCCACTGAATACAAATAAAAATGGTAGTTGCGAGTTTTTCCCCACAATTCTTACTTTTTTTTGCCTCACAATTATGAGTTTACATCTCACAATTCTGACGTTTTTCTCAGAACTGTGAGCTTATATCTTGGAATTCTGACTTTATAACAAGCAATTGCGAGTTATAAAGTCAGAATTGTGAGGTATACTTGCAATTGTAAGAAGTCAGAATTGCGAGATATAACTGAGAAAAAAAAGTCAGAATTGCGAGTTTATATCCCGCATATATAATTCGCTGAGAAAAAAAGTCAGAATTGCGAGAAAATTACCTTTTTATTTTTTATTCAGTGGCAGAAATGGGTGTCCATAGTATTTACTTTCAGAGGGTTACCAATTTGTTACTTCAGAAGGTTATGAATTTATGTATTTACTTCAGAAGGTTGCCCAGGTTGAAGAGAGCTCTGTTGTGATGAGGGTTAATATTCAGCGCTCTCCTGTAATAAACTTCAGCCTCCTCAGTCTGGTGAGTCAGGGTGCCCAGATTATTCAGAGCACTGGCATGTCGAGGGTACAGTCTATACAAAACACACAGGCAATTTACGGATTAACATAGTCAATGAAAGCACTGATTCTTAATTAAAAGTATGAAGGAAATTGGGGTATTAAGGTGTATTTTGGAAATTGGAAATGATTCCTTCAGCAGAAAAAACATTCAGTGTCAAATTGCTCTCATGCCCACATACACACTTACCTGAGGGCTGTTTTATAGTGGTAAATGGCTTCTTGGTTTCGGCCCCTGTCCTTCAGGAAGTTGGCATAGTTGTAATGAACTTTAGCATTGTGAGGTAAAGTCTGAATGCCAGACCTGACGGAGGAGGAAGAAAATAGATCAGGAGCCAGAAGGCACAGTGAAAGAAAACACATTTCGTATTTACAGTTTGAAAGGATGAAAATCCAAAGAATGCAAAACTTAAGTTATTCGGTTTATAAACGTGCCTGACACTCCCTCTGACGCGAAATAAACCAATATCCAGAGTTATTCAGTTACTCCTAACAGTACATTGACTTAACTGCTAAAAGAGAACCAATGATGGGATGTGCACGAGCAGAGCAGCTGGACTGAGTCTCGTCCTGCTGGGAGACGGCATCACAGTATGTTAAGGGGCATAACGTTTCCGTCACACGCTTGAGGTATTCGGCCAATCACAATGCACTGGATAGCTGGACCAATCAGAGCACACCTCGCTTTTCAGAACGATGAGCTTTGTAAAAATTGACGCGTTTCAGAAAGGCGGGGCATAGAGGAGAAACAATAATGTACATTATATGGAAAATAATGTTTTTTTTAAACCTTAAACCGCATAAACACATTGCATTACACCAAATACACAACATAATGTTCTTTTTAGCAACGTCATATGACCCCTTTAAAATTTCTAACTTTCATTCAGCTTAACTTGATGTGCTAAAATAAACTAAAACTGAAATAAAAATGAATATCAATTACACACACACATACTGTATATATACCGTATACAGTATGTGTGTGTGTGTGTGTAAAATAACACTGAAAAATAACATAAAACACAAGAAATGGCACATAAAATCTGATAAAACAGAAAATCTTGGCCAAGCATTCTGGAAAATCAGCTTAAATTGACAGCTGGAACATGTTAGATGGTTTCTGATTGGTCATTAACTGTCTTGAGATTATCTACCAGCTAGATCAAGATAGTCTAATAGCTCCTCTGCGGATGATAATCCAGCTAGTCAATCACCTAAACCAGATTTGACTAGCTAGAAACCCAGCTACTGTGTTGCAAAACCCAGCCTTCATCTTAAACTGGTTTATTCTGGATCTTTCATGCAGAACGTGAATCTGCACATTCACACACCTGAACAGGGCTTCTCTGGAGAGCCAGATCTCATTCTGTTGGACGGTCTTCCAGGAGAAGAGGAGGAGGACAACCAGCATGGACACAGTTAGTGCAGCCGCTCCCCACCGACTGACCACTGAATTCAGTCTGTTCAGCCCGTGCACCACCAGAACACAGTAACCCATACTGAACAAACACACAAAGAGAGTGTTGTTATGGAAAAAGCCTTTGTAATCTGAGCAACACTGCATAGATGGATGAATTAAAGTAGTTTTGGAACAGACCTTTGTGTATATTTCACAGGTAATGTACCGTAGAGAGTATTGTGGGTGGAAAATGGCAAATTGTAAACTGTGATGCTAATGTATTTCAGCATTTAATGTTCTCTCATGTATTTTCAGACAGCTAAAGATCCAGCTAACTCTCATGAAAAATAGCAATAATATACCCTTTAAAAATATTATGTCTATGCAATACTTTAATTAAATATTCAAAATGAGACTTGGAAAAAAAGACTTATGTTAAAAACCATAGAACTCTTGAAAGCATCTAAAATATCATTCATGTGTGTAGCACAAATGCTGAATGACAAAATATGCAATGACGTTTAAAACTAAAAGGTAAAGTGTAGGAGTGATTGTTCACCACAATTACAATTCAAATCATTAATCATTACAATTTATCATTAATCATTACATTAATCAAAACAAATCATTACAATTATATGAATTCCCATAAATTGACTAATATAATAAAAAAATTAAATAACATCATATTTTACATGGATACAATAAAAACAATTATTAAATAAAATTAAATAAAACGACTTCATAATAAATGTATAATAAATGCAATATTTATGCATTAATTTAATTATATATACAAATAACAATGTAAGATATTTGACCTATTTTTATAATGTAAATATTTTAGACATATACATTCTATATAGATATATACATAGATATAGACACAATTAGTAAGTAAATATTCAAAATTACAGAAGAAATATAAAAGTTTAAGGATCAGCTTTTACAAAAACATAATTACTAAATATATTACAGGAAAAAAATATTGTATAAATATCAGAAATTATTATTGTATAAATTATAACATGATTTAATGTTTTATTTATTTAATTAAATTTTTTCCCAGTGGCTATTATTATCGAACACTATTGCTAATTATTGTAACCCTGGTATGATCCACCAGGTAGGCATCAAAACAAAAGCGTTTAAAATTGCAAGTACGAACACAGAATCAGACACATCTGTGAATTATATTTGTAGACTTGAGCGCATATTTGAAGGTAACCATGACAAGGACAAAACTCCCTTCAATCCTTTAGCCACAGGAAAGGGGCCGATCCGATTCCACTCCTCACACTGTTTATTCTCAGACACTGTTGACACGGTCAAAATCAGCTCAAGTCAAAAACAATTACATGAATCTAGAAAATTTTACTTACTAGTGTTGAAAAAGACTGTCGGAGGAAAAAGTGAGTTATAACAAATAGCATATTCCCTGGGAACATCTGTTTTATGTTGGGAAGTCGTGGCCTAATGGTTAGAGAGTCGGACTCATAACCCAAAGGTTGTGGGTTCGAGTCTCGTACCGGCAGGGATTGTAGGTGGGGGGAGTGAATGTACAGCACTCTCTCCCACCATCAATACCACGACAAGGTGCCCTTGAGCAAGGCACCGAACCCCCAACTGCTCCCCGGGTGCCGCAGCATAAATGGCTGCCCACTGCTCCGGGTGTGTGTTCACGGTTTGTGTGTGTTCACTGCTGTGTGTGTGCACTTTGGATGGGTAAATGCAGAGCACTAATTCCGAGTATGGGTCACCATACTTGGCCACTTCACTTCATCACTTATGTTTTTTGAAAGTTTTACTGAAGAAAATGTGAGTGTGCTTGCCCAATGCTAAAGCATTGTTTTTTTGGTTGATAAAATATGCGGTGTATTTAGTATTGCTATGCTCTATGATGTTTTGGTCTCTAGATATGGTTTTTAGATCCTTCCTTCTATATAAGTCTATAGGATTGTTTTGCATATTTTACCAAAGTCAGCATAAAATTCAGGACAAATGCAGGACAAATTTTAGTACTTGGCTAAGTAAACTAATTCAACTAAGTATTGAGTATTTATTTTGCAAGAAGAAAAATATATTTTATATACATTTTATAAAGAAAATATTATTATTTTGCAATGCAACATTTTTTAAAGCCATTTTCCCTCTTTTAAAGTTAAAATGTCTTGATGGATTTGTTTCGTACAAACATGCAGCTTTTCACGTCATAAGATGTTAATTGACGGACTGGAGACGTGTGGATTAATTGTGGATTACTGTGATGCTTTTATCAGCTGTTTGGACTCTCATTCTGACGGCACCCATTCACTGCAGAGGATCCATTGGTGAGCAAGTGATGTAATGCTACATTTCTCCAGATCTGTTCAGATGAAGAAACATCTGAGGGTGAGTAAATGTTTAGCAAATTTTCATTTATGGGCAAACTCTTCCTTTAATTGTCATGAAATTAAAGTCAATGAACCTAAAATAAAATAATAATTTTCTTTGTGCAAAAAAACTGTTAAATATGAGGTAAAATGAAATTTTTGTGCGTTTCACCAAGTACAAGCAATAGTAACAGTGATGTTCCCCTTATATTTTTGCTCCATAGACACAACTAAAGTGAATCAGAGCCTGAGAGCAACTCACATTCCTCTCATAGCTTTTCGCTGATATGTGTGTGGCTGCATGTGTGTATATATGGTTTGGCCTCTGAGCCACAGTTCCACCCTCACGTGTCTGACTACTATTGCTGTTAGCACTAACAAAGACAGTGCTACGTATATTTACCCAGCATGCATAGAGAAGTACCGCCTAAATGCCAAGATAAGTGCCCATCTGATCCTAACACCATTAAACTCACTGAACACAAACTGCTCATTACTCATAACTAAGTTGTATTTATGTGTGTGTATGTGGGTGTTTGTCGGGTCACTGCAACACTCAGAGCTAATAAGATTACTAAAATACCTCACCTCATTGTTCAAGTTTCTGTTTAATCTGGACAGTTAGCATAAATACACACACACACAACAGATCAGTGGTGCATTATGGGAAGCAGGGTTCAAGATTATGTACTGTTATCAGTGGTGTGTGATCCCTACAGCAGGATGAAGGAGAATGAGGGAGAGAAAAATGGAGGTTGAATTTGTAATGCTTTAGAAAAAAAGTAATACGAAGATCAAGAAATGACATTTTTTCAGGCCGTCACAATATATTTTTACAGGCACATCTGCACAATACACACCCACACAAACCTGGGCATGTAGAGAACTCTTTCTGCCACCACAAATCCCACGCGGAAGAACAGATTACTGGCTGGGATGAAGGGAAAGATCAGGAACAGCAAACCCACCAACACCTCCTTCCCTTTCATCTTCTACACAAAGAGAGAGATGGAGAAAAAATAAGACAGATGGAGAGAGAAACCAAACATTTTCTACATTTCCTGCAGACAATGTCAGTGGAGCTTGTCTATGCAAAATCCGCAGCCACAATGTTATTTTGTTGCTAGGGTGTTGCTATGGTACTTAAGAGTGTTTTTTTTACAGTGGCCAAGAGAGCTCACACACTGCAACTGAACAAAACACATGCAAATAAAAAAAAAATCATCAAATTATCACAATGCAAATCCTTTGTACCAGCAAATACTCACAATGCAACCAAATACAGAAACACACTGCAAATACTCACAACAACCAAATACAGAAACGTGCTACAAATACTCACAATGCAAACAAATACAGAAACGTGCTACAAATACTCACAATGCAACCAAATACAGAAACACACTGCAAATACTCACAACAACCAAATACAGAAACGTGCTACAAATACACACAACGCAAACAAATACAGAAACATGCTGCAAATACTCACAACAACCAAATACAGAAACGTGCTTCAAATACTCACAATGCAAACAAATACAGAAACATGCTGCAAATACTCACAATGCAAACAAATACAGAAACACACTGCAAATACTCAATGCAACCAAATACAGAAACATGCAGCAAATACTCCCAAATACAGAAATGGGCTGCAAATACAACGCAAACAGAATACAGAAACGTGCTGTAATTACTCACAACGCAACCAAATACATTTGTATTTGTAGTGCGTTTCTGTATTTGGTTGCGTTGTGAGTATCTGTAGTGTGTTTCTGTTTTTGGTTGTGTTGTGTGCATGTGTTGTTAAACTGATGAAGATGTTTTCATAATATGTTGATGTTTTTTGTATTTGCATGTGTTTTCTATCGTATTCTGAGTGGTTTTTAACTGTGTCGCTATGAGGTTATTAGGACGTTACTATGAGGTTGCGATGTTTTTCTGCGTGTTTAACTGCATTGCTATGGTATTCTGGGTGAAATGAACAGAAATGAAACAAACACAAACATGCACAACACACACACAAAAGCACACTTGATGATATGTCGGACACATTTTTTACTGACTCTAGGCAATATTTGCACTACTAAGATGGGCTTTTCTACACTGCTATAGAGCTCCCATATCTTTATTACTGTTATTTGAGTGTGCATCCTTGAAATATGAGCTAGCATTGTTTCAATTGATGTATAAGTTCATTAAATATGACAGCTGAGGAATGAAGGGTCGATACAAAGGTAAGAATTGGTTATGAAATCAAAGCTAGAATAAGAGAGGTTGGGGGGGGATGAAATCATAACTGTATCACGCTCGGTTTGCTTTCAATAGGCTGATATGCTGATAAAAAATTTATAATAAAACCGAAGCTATTGTCTGGAGTCTCACTCTCATATCCACAGATAGAATATGAATGTTTTCATATTGATTTCTGCCTTCCAGTCCATCAGAAACATTAATTAACTTCAGATTCATCAACAAGTGAGCAGACATGCAATGACTGTGTCAAGAAATGACAAAGGCTTGTATAAAAATGTGCTGATAACATTCACGTCCACAAATCGGTACTATCAACTTCCTCTCAGGCCTGTGTGTATATTTGTGTGTGTTTTGCATGAGATAATTAGCCTAGTAAACATTCCCGAGGAGACAGATTGGAAAGTCATTAGGGTGAATCGTTGGCAGCACAAACAGAGGTCATCCGCAGTCCGTCCCAAAATGTCACTGGGCCAAACTCCATTCAGAGGCCCTCTATAGACTAAAGCCTCGTAGGCCTACACACCGGGACGATTATCGTGCGTGCTTATCGCCGACGTTTTTCGACGCATCTTTTGTGTTCATACCCAAGCGATTTTCGCTGGCGATGAGCCGAGTGAACATGCAAATTAACTCCCTGACATTAGACGGTGCTTAATGAAAAACAGAAATACCTCGGTACACATCGAATCCTATTTGATCGGCAATTCCTCTCCATAACAACTCCCTCTTATCGAGATTTTTGTAGCCGCTGTCGCGTTAGTCATAAACCTCTTTGTGTTCAGACACCAGTGAGACCAGCAGCTCTACATTCATCTTTATTTATTTTATTTATTGTTTTATTTGTTGGGGACTGATACAATAAACATAGATGAAAACAATCATCCCATGCATGTACCATAGTGCTTGTAGCCGAAGCTAATTTGCAACACATCTTGCCTCGATGCATCTTCTTTGGTCTACTTACTTCCTCTTCGTCATTAGGTATCAATGTGTGCTCGGCAAGACTGTTTTGTGCTTGAGCGCCACAAAGTCGTGTTTTACTGTAACTTCAGCAGCTCCAGGCACGTGAACAAAAGCGGCAATCTAATTGGTCGGCCAGTTTTTAACGCGGCGC